TAAGAGCATTGGACTTGGTCATTAAATGCTCAGCTTTACCACCACCAGCTCTGAGACCATGGGAAAAACTATGGCTTCTCTGTGCTTTCATTTCCTCCTATAGTGCTATGAGGATTAAATAAAGTTGATCAAGCACTTAACACACTGCCTGCCGCATGATAAATGCACAATACAAAGTAAAATGTCTTCTTCAGTCATACTGTCTTCTTCGTCATTATTGCCAACATCAAAACACTGATCTGAAGAAAGAACTACACAGTGAGATTTCCAGTGTTGCAGGTGGTAAAGAGTTGAAGTGGGTAGACCATAGGAAGTGGGAATAAAAGGGGGGCAGGTGAATTTTGATTCAGGCAGATACACATCAAAACATCTGGGGAAGAGGGATGATAGCTTTCTCTACACATAAATACTGGGGAATACCAAGAAAACAGGAGGAACCAATGGAGAGAGCTCTCTGAAAACAGAGCTCAAGGCGACTGCTAAACCAACTCCTATGAAGCAAATTTTCATGGCAGAATACTGGATTTGGTGGATCTCATCTGGCAGGAACAGCTTGGGCTTCTTTGTGAAGTGAGGCTTCCCATTTTCCATTTCCCACTGCCTCTTACCCTTTTTTAAATTTTATTTTGGCTCTTTCTCTGGTTTCCCTTATTGATGTCTCAGAGTAGATACTTGTTAGAATAGAAATATTGCCGATGTATCTGTCAAATAAGTCATCATTTCCTAACTCCCCAATTAATTCAGGAGAGTAAGGGAGACAGAGGCCACTAGAGCAAGTGGGGAACTGAGTGGGCCAGGAGCTGAGACAGTGGTAACTGAGTGGAAGGAGAAAGCAAAATAGGTTGACTGAAAGTGGAATGCCCTCTGGGAACCTTGTGTTCCATCTTTCATTCACTGGCTTCAGGCCCTAGTTTCTAGCCTGAACAAATTCTCTCCAGATGGAGTAAAATCACTAAATTCACTCGCTGGCACAGGTTTTTCTTTTCCGTCTTGTCTCTCTGTATTAGCAAACTCACCCATGACCCATGTTATTAGATAAGCCAGAGAAAAATATCTGGGTCTGGGTGTTGTCGTGAAGCTCTTCATGCCAGAGGGTTTACTCTGAAGGGTGGTCAGAGCTTAAGCAGATTGGGAGGAAGGACAAGGGCATTTCAGGGCTATTAGGCCAGTGAAGAAGGCTGGAGACAGCAGAACTTGCTCTCAGCATCAGCAAGTAACCCATCTGACTGGTTCATAACAAGAGCACAGGGTCAGGCTGGAAAAAAGGTTTGTTTATTAGCAGTAAGGTCAACTTCATGTTTGAAAACAACTATTTTTCTTTTTAAAAAATGGACCCCTATTGTCTTCCAACCTTATGCCCCAGAAAGAAGATGGGGAGGAAGAACCTAATGAAAAAAACATTCCTAGAGGAAACAGAAAATACTTAGGAAAGAGAATAATTTAAATTCAGTGTACATTAAACACACACAAATCAGACTAATTGAAAGCTGTGGGCATCAGTGCCTGGGGGAGAGAAGAAAGGGGAATCCAACAGAAAGAGGAGAGAGCCTGTGGACCCAGGGAGGGCAGCCTTAGGAGGAGGCCCTGGAAATTCCCATTCTCCAGGCTTCATAACAGACCTGGGTTCCTCAATTCAATGGTGTCAGGCGATGAGAGTGGAGGAAGGTAAGGAGAGGAGAGGAAAGAATATAGAAACACCAAATATCGAATCCTGGACATATTTCACATTTAGCTTAGATTAGAATTCCCAAGATCCCAGAGATCACTCTCTCAACTAAAGCCCTCTGACCTGACTCTGTTCTCCCTCACTAGGACCATCGGCACCTTCCACTCCATAGATTCCTGGCTGTGGTACTCCTTGGCTCTTCCTGCCGCAAATAGATACCTCATAGACTCAGTTTCACAGAAACAGAACCTAAAATCAAAAGAAAAGGCAGGCTCTTCCTTTCATGCTTGTTGTCTTAGTTTTATTCTAATTCCCCTTAGTTCGTAGGCCAGAAAATGGAGTAAAAATTGTGGTTTGGGCTATTTTCCATATATTATCCAATAAAGAACTTACATCCAGAATATATTTAGAACTTTTACAAATCTACAATGAAAAATTAACTCAATTTTTTAAAAAGGGCAAAAGACTTGAAAAGACATCTTACAAAAGTAGATGTACAAATGGTCAATAAGCATTTGAAAATGTTCTCACCATCATGAGTCATCAGGAAAATACAACTTAAAACCATAATGAAACAGCGCTTCACACCTCCTAGCATGGCTAAAATTAAATAGACTGATAATGCCAAATGATGGTGAGGGTAGAGCAACTGGAACTTGAATACATTGCTACTGGGAATGTAAAATATTACAATCATTTTAAGGAACTCTGATGGCTCCCTTATAAAGTTGAACATACACCTACCCTATGGCCTATATATAATTCCACCCCTAGGTAATTATGCAAGAGCAATGAAAACCTATGTCCCCAGAAAGACATCTATAAGAACTTTCACATCAACCTTATTCATATGAGCTAAACACTGGAAACAACCCAAGAATTCATTAGGAGGAGAATGGATAAACACATTGTGGCCTATCTATACAATAGTACTCTATTCAGCTGTAGCAAGGAATGAACCACGCGTACACACAACCACATGGATGAATCTAACCAAATGTTAAAAAAATATATTCTGTATGATTTCATTCGTATAAAATTCAAGAATAGGCAAAACTACATCTATGATGATAGAAATCAGAAATTGTTACCTAGTTGTGGGTTGGGGAGGGGAGGAATGGATTGGAAGGGGGCACAAGTAGGTTCTCTAGAGTGATGGAAGGCTCTATAGTTTAATTTTGGCGATGACTACATGGGTGTATAAAATTGTCAAGACTCAGAACTGAATGCTTAAAATATGTGTATTTTGTATGTAAATTATACATCAGTTTTTAAAATACAGTAACGAAAAAAGATATTTACAGGCCTAGTTCTATAAAAACTATAAAAGCCTATTTATATTTTAAATTATGCTTTAAAAAAAAAAAAAAAAAATAGGGTCTCTTATCACCGAGGCTGGAGTGCAGTGGCATAATAATCGCTCACTGCAACCTTGAACTCCTGGGCTCAAGTGATTCTCCTGCCTCAGCCTCCCAAGTTGCAAGGACAACAGGTGCATGCCACCATGCCTGGCTAATTTATTATTTGTTTTGGAGAGACAGGGTCTCACTGCATGGACCAGGCTGGTCTTGAACTCCTGGCCTCAAGTGATCCTCCCACCTTGGCCTCCCAAAGCACTGGGATTATAGGCACAAGCCACTGCACCCAGGCTAAATTATCTTTTTAAAAATAATCTCTTTTAGTCTCATGAGTCTAACCCCATTCTCGAGTTAGAGAATGAAGTACTTTTCAAAGATGGGGCTACAACAAAAACCTACGTTGCCTGTCAACCCACTGGTTCCTGGATCCCCACAATAAGTAATGCTGGGTTTTCCTGCTGAGCTCAGCAGTTCTCTCAATTGACCTGAAAAGATATGGGGTGTGAAGTGAGAACCTAGGGCAGCGAGGGTGATATTTTCAATGTCCCCATTTCTGCTTCAAAGAGAGCAAGTACAATTTAACCTGTTTCTATTTTGCTTGAAGAAGGGTCTTGCTGTTAGACAATAATGAAATCCTGTGACCCATGGCTTTCCCATCCCAGCATGTGTGCCCCAGCATGGGATATAAGAGCACTGCTCCCACTTGCTTCGGTCCATCGTCTGTCTCCCTGTGTCACTGATGCTCCTGGAGCAGCAGTTTTTGATAACTTGGAAGGTTATGCCATGTGGGAGCTGGCATGAGACCCAGCATCATGAAAACTACTCAACTAAGGCTCTGGGATATATGCTTAGATGGCCTGAGCCATCCTGGGAATGTGTGACCTGGAGTGACACTTTCCTATCCTGAGAAAAGAGGATGACAGTACGCATGCTGTCGCCTTCACAGGGGTGTCATGGGGTAGCACAAGATAGCAGATCTGAAAACCATGTTTACAAACTTTTAATTTTGATTCACACCAGTGGAGTTATCTAGTTCAGTCTTCTGAGTTCCTATGATTGCAGAGATTGTAAAGGAAGTATAGGATTTAGTCCCTATTTGCAGAAAACTGAGAGTAGACCTGGTGAAGTCATGTGAGTTAAGGTGTAGAGAAATGAACAATTAGCAAGTTGCTATTGGGGCAATGTTTCCATTCATTACATGCTTTAGTATTCATTAGAATAATGAATGCCTTTCAACTGATTAAATCTGCTTGAATTTCTGGAGGTATGCTACACATTTATATTTTGTTTAGTGTTTAGTCACTATTTCTAGGTGTCAACCTTTGTAATAGAAGGACAGAATGTTGCACAATACAACATGGGAATCAGAGTAGGACCCCTGGGTTTGATGGACACTACTCTTTAACTGATTGTGTAACTTTGGGCCATTCACCAGGCTTTTCTAGCCCTCTGTTTCTGTTTCTGAAATAAACTCGCTACTTAATTTCTGAGAACCTCTTTAGTTATGAAAAATACAGCAACCACTGTGGGATGGTAGACAAAGTCTTTGCAGTTAGTAGAAGAACTTTATCCATCTCTGGCAGGTTAAATCACCCCATCTGTCTGTGTGAGGGTCAACTTCCTCTTCTAGAAGATGGACCTGGAGATCTCCATCATGCCTGCCTCACTGGGTTATTGTGAGGATTGAACAGCAAGGAGTATGCAAAAACTCTATAAGCCATAATTCATAATATAAACGTTTGCTGCTATTCCTTTGCTGTTGCTACAGGCATTGAAAAACCTAGAGAGCACTCTTGGAACCATGTATACAAGAGTGCATGGCAATGTTGCTTAAATAGTCTAAGGGTTGAAGAATTCCAAAGCAGAGACTTATCTGAGGGCTGGATTCATGAATAAGGCTTGGAATCGTAAGTCTAAACCTAACATTCTCTCGTGGACCTGGTGAGCCTGTGCTGACAACAGTGGTTCCCTCACAGGTGACAGCAGAGCTAGACGCCTGGAATGAAGACTTGCTTCGGCAGATGAATGACTTCAACACAGAGGACCTAACCCTGGCAGAACAGCGGCTGCAGCGCCACACAGAACGGAAGCTAGCCATGAACAACATGACTTTTGAGGTCATCCAGCAGGGACAGGATCTGCACCAGTACATCATGGAGGTCCAGGCATCAGGTGGGTGACCTCGCTCATTCTTCTGGCAGGGGAGATGATGAAAACAAGCATACCAGCTAGCCTGCAAGGAGCACTGCCACATCGTTTATTCATTTTATTCCTACAGCTACAAAGAATAGAGACTTCTACCCACATTAAAAAAAAAAAAGAAAGAAAAGAAAAAGAAAGGAAACGAGACCAGGTGTGGTGGCTCATGCCTGTAATCCCAGCATTTTGGAAGGCTGAGGTGGGTGGATCATTTGAGGTCAGGAGTTCGAGAGCAGCCTGGCCAACATGGTGAAACCCCATGTCTACTAAAAATACAAAAATTATCCAGGTGTGGTGGTGGACGCCTGTAATCCCAGCTACTCGGGAGGCTGAGGCAGGAGAATCTCTTCAACCTGGGAGATGGAGACTGCAGTGAGCAGAGACCATGCCACTGCACTCGAGCCTGTGCCACTGCACTCGAGCCTGTGCCACTGCACTCGAGCCTGTGCAGGAGTCAGATGAAAAAAAAAAAGAAACGGAAGCCATGAGAGCTGAAATAGTGCCCAAGGTTACCCAGTTAGGCTGTGCTCAAGTTGAGAATAGGGCCAGCGTCTGCTGGTCTGCAGAGAGAGTGAGAGAACTGATGATGGCAATCAGCACAGATTCCTTTAAAAAACAGTAGCCTGGAAAAACAAACCAGAAGCAGTCAGACATTCATATGGATTGTATTCACATGCGTAGCGGTTTCCTCTTCTGCTCCTGACCCCTGCTGCCAGCACGCATTCTCTAGCCCTATCCTCTACTGCTAAGCTACCTCCTTGTCTCCTGTTCCTGCTTCTCAGTCTCCTCAATTTTTAATCACTGGTCTTTGGGTGAGTATAAGCAGTACTGATAAACATTTATGACAAGATCATATAATTTTGTAACTTCTCAGAAAAACATGGCTGAGTTACTCAGATTTAACTTCTTTTCCTGCTCAAGATTTATTCAAAATTTATCTAACAAGTGAGTGAGTCCTTACTATTATACTTCCCACGCCCCAAGTCAGCCTTTGATGTTAGAATGAGAGAGTGCCATGGTGATCCACTGGTCCCGAAGAAAAGAAGTCACATGGCTGGTCACATCCCAGGGGAATGCTAGAGCCCATAACTTTACCTCCCAACCCACTCCACTGCCCTCCTACCCAGGTCCTTGTTGGCTCAGGTGCCTCACTCTCCAGCACGAGGTAGACAGGGACTAAGGCCATCAACTATAAAACGCAGTTGGGTCATGTCCCTGCTTATCCTGAAGGATATGGAAATCCTGAGATTGTCAGGGGAACCTTAGCAGTCATACTGAACTTTAAAGTACTGTGTTTCTTTTGATGACCTGAAAGAGTAAAGACCAGCTTTCAAAGGGACTTCACTCCTGACCAGAGGAGAGATAGTCTAGTAAATTCTGTTCACTTTTGTCAACATAGTCTGTCCTTGAATTTTCATCTGTGCTGTGAACAGACTGCATCTGAGACCCAGGCCTGTTCACAGGTGTGCAGCTGAAACCCAGGCCTATTCACAGGTATGCAGCTAGTGCTCTGTGTAGTCCCAGGAAGGGCTACTCACCTTGCAGTCTGTCTGGGGACTTTTTTTAAATGACAGTGCCCAGGCCCCATGCCCTGATATTCTGATTTAACTACCTCTAAATGAAACTTGGGCAACAGCAAAAAGCTCCTCAGGTGATTCAACTGTGTGGCCAGGGCCAAGAACCACTGCTTTTAATTGTGATAATTAAGCCACAACAGCTGACATCTCCGGAATGACCTAGGACAGTGGCTCTCAAAATGTGATCCCCATATCAGCAGCATTAGCATCACCTAAGGATATGTTTGAAATGCGAGTTCAAGGGCCCATACCTGAACCCATTACATCAGAATCTCATAACATAAATGTTTGCTGTGGTTCCTTTGCTGTTGCTATAGGCATTGAAACAGCGCATACTCTTAAAGCCCTGTACACAAGAGTATGTGGCAATGTTGCTTAGATAGTCTAAGGGTCAAAGAATTCCAAAGCAGAGACTGATCTGAGGGGTGGATTCATGAATAAGGCAGTGTTGCTTAAATAGTCTATGGGTGAGCAGAGTGTGGCCCAGCAATCTGTGGTTCAGTTAGCCCTCCAGTTGATATTGTGCACCACTGACCTAGCATGTTACTACTCAGTGTGGGCTCTGGGCCCAGCAGCACCAGCATCACTTGGGAGCAGATTAGGAATGCAAAATCGCTGGCCTTATCCCAGACTTGTGAATCTGAAAGTATATGTTAATGAAATCTCCAGGTAAATTAAAATTTGGAAGTCAGTGTTCTAGGACATGGACTGTACCTTATTAGGGAAGTGGGGGAAACCATAATCCCTTCTCTGATTGGGAATCTTACCTGGACTCGGCATTTAGCCCCATGACCTGCCCTCATGGTACTCACTGTAGCTGTCTATGCAGCTACGACTGGGAACCATAAGAGAATGCAGACACAGCATCTAGCAGAGAGACAGGCAGAGAAGCTATGCAGGGATGCTCACCCTTCATCTCTCATGGTGGATGTGTCCCGCAGGAAAAGGAGCCTTGTCTGCCTGGACACCTGCAGCACTTACTACCAGGGTGCTGACGTGACCCTGGGCAAGCCAACCTCTGTCCCAAGAGCCAAGTATCCATAGTAACAGAAAGACTACTGGGAGCTGGAAGTCCCTGAGGACTGCTTGTGGCTGAGGTGGGCTGTGCTTGGCGTCCACCTAAACCATGAGGGCTGAGTGGGTGAAAACACCCCAGGCATATGGGCTGCCCACCCCCACAATATCCTGTTCTAGAAATGAGCTTTGTCAAAAGAGGTTTGATTGGCCTCTTCAGCGCCTCTTACTGAGGCTGGCTGTTCTCCTGCTCCTACCACAGCTAGCTGTTCAGTCTGGCGTATACCATGAGGCTTTCAAGAGAATGAATCCAGGGGTTTTAGGAATGCTCACTCCCTGTCTATGGCTGAATGCCTGGTTCTGCCGGGGAGGCATCTAACTTACCTCTGGGCTTAGGGAAATGGAGGGTAGATTCACACCAGAGCTGGAGGGCGGGGTTGGGGTAAGAGGTGAGCCCAGGTGGGCCTTGACCCCCAGTGGCTGAGGAATGTAAGACTTCAGAGACACAGGACTGAGGCAATAAATGGCTTGGGGAGTTACAGTCTTTGTTTAATGGACTGTATTTGGACTAAAGGTAAAATAAACTGTAGTCTTAGAAAAAGGACAATTAGCAATATTAAAACTTTTGTTGGTGTTTAGTCCATGCTGAATAAGGGCTTATGCTTTGATTTTGTAGTAGCAAATGGAACTAGGCAATTTTTATATGCTTCTTTTCAAGTGTGAAGTTTCTAATATTGAGCCAGGCTCTACTAAATTGCTCTGGTGTACCCACAACTCTAACCAAAGCAAAAGCCTTTGCTTAACTTAACATCAGGCTCAGGAATAGAGTAAATAGGAACAATTTCTTAATTTGCTCATTGTTCTTTCCTCACTATGGAATCATCTATTTGAGCCTCAAATTGCGAGGTGGTAGGTTTCGCTGAAAGAAGTTGGGGGAAACATGCTGGCTGAATTCAAGGTCCAGTTCCACCAACTAGCAGTCTGATTTTGGAAGTCCCTTTTCTCTTTAGACTTTAGTTTCTTCTTCTGTCTAGTGTGGCAGGCCTTAACTCCTAAAGTTCCCTCCAGTTCTCGCTTTCCGTAATTCAGCCTAACTGCCCTCATTGACCAGGCCATACTTCTTCTCTCCCATGAAATCTGACCATGCGACTGTTACACTTGACTCGAGGAGTAAAACAAGAGTGACATACCTTATGGATATGTTGTTTTTGTGATTTACTCAAAGCATCAACTTCTCTCTTTATACAATGTTTGTAAATGAGAAATCTCTGGAGTCTGTTGCCATGATACTTAAAATTTACTTTGCCTGAGAAGAGCCCAACCCCAACTTTTAAAAATAAATAAATTCTTAAAATAAATTAAGTTTTGTGAGGATCACTCTTCTCCTTGAGCGTAAAGGCTAGAATACAAAATCAAGAGGAAATCCTGGGTTGAAATCCCGGCCGCACCTCTTAGGACCTGTGTGTCCTTGTACGTATTCACCTGTCTCTCTAAACCTTGCCTTCCTCTGAAAAGTAGTGATCTTCAGAATCCTTACCACATAGGGTCATGTGAGGATGAAGTGGGATAACACGGGAGGATGGAAAGGGTTCAGTGAAGCTTGGCAACTAGTATATGTTGTACTCCTAGCACATGCTATGTTCTGTTGAAGTTATTTGTGTTCCTGTAGTTTTTTCAGCAGCATGAAGGAACAAATTCTTTCTTCCCTCTTTCCATTCCCAGCATCTAGCAGAGCCAATGTCTTGTGCCTAGCAAGTTCTTAATAGTAACGTTTGCTGAATTAAGAATGAACATCAGTGTGGGTGAACACATGTAGGTAAAAATAATGGAGCACAAATAATTTTACTAGTGTCAAAAAGGAAAGAAAAAAAATCTGGGTTTATTATTATTATTATTATTTTCAACATGAAAGCTACTCTGGGGTTAATAGGAATGTGGATCTGAGGGGCTGAGAGGAGGGGAAGAAGAAACCTTGACATAAAACAATGGTTCCTAACCTGGCTGTAGATTGAGAATCACCTGGGAACTTCTTAAAAATACCAATGTCTGGGCCTCATCCCTCAAGGACTCTTAGTTAATTGGTCTGGTGTGGGCCCAGATTTTTTTTAACTTCCCAGGTGATTTTAAGGTACAACCAGTGTTGAGAACACTGATCTAAAAACCTCATTAAAGGACTTTGTGATTTCTGAACTGTTAGGTAGACGGAGTGACACAGAAAGAGGAATGGACAGGGGAGGAGAAAAGAAAGAGAAAAGAAGATGTTCTGTATCTGAGGCAGATACTGATATTTAAAGAACATAGTTTTTAAAAACGTGTTACAAGTATGGGCAGCATAGCTAGAAATATCTGAATCTTACTCTAGACCATGGTCACCTCTCTCCTTGAGGAAATTAAAGTGGTACCCTCATCTGGTAACAAATGAAAGCAAACTAATGCTTATCGTTGTTAGCTGTGGCTTTTAGCCCTAAACAAACACCAATGCAGAGCATTCGCTGAGTGTAGCAGAAGGAATATCTCTGTTTCCCCAGGTTTCTGGCCATTGTACCATCTTATCCAGTGGTTCATAATCTTGGTTGCATGTTGGAATCATGCCTGGAGGTTTAAGACTTACTAATGGCTGGGTCCCGACCACAGAGATTCTGAGGTTATTGGTCTGGGGTGTGGTTAGGACATGGTGATTTAAAAAAAAATTCTCCAGCTGATACTTGGGAGGCTGAGGCAGGAGAATCGCTTGAACCCAGGAGGCAGAGGTTGCAGTGAGCTGAGATCGCGCCACTGCACTCCAGCTTGGGTGACGCAGCAAAACTCAGTCTAAAAGAAAAAAAAAATTATCTGCTGAATCTGATGTGAGCCAGGGTTGAGAGAAGCAGTCTAACAGCATTAAAGCCACCATAGTTTCCAATGATATACATTAGGCGAGTACATAAACACCTGTCAGTAAGGTTTTATATTTACATTTTGTACAAGCCATTCAATAGTTCCATCAGCAATCAAAAGTGTATTCGTTATAATTTCTCTGAGGGAGAGGGAAAAGGGAGAAAATGAATATTTTAAGCCTACTAGATGCCAAGCACTGTATACATTGTATCTCACTTAGTTCTCACAACATCCCTGAGAAGTCTTCCTTGTGATTCCCATTTTACAGACAAGGCAACCCGGGCTCAGAGAGGGTGAGAAGCTCAGAGTCTCTCCATTCATAGCATACAGAGCAAACCTAAGCCAGTTCTTCCCCCAAGCTCTCAGGTACTTTCCACCACAGCATATGACCTCAGTTCTCTAAAGAGGCTCGTTTGTTCATTGATTAGGTATTTATTGGATGATATGAATGAAGCATTGTGCTAGGGCCTGAAGAGGCAGAGATGGGTAAGACTGACATGGCCCTGGCGTCGGGAAGCCTGCATTCCTGGGACAACATGGATAGGTTAATAAGGAACCAACCTGAATGGAAGTGTTCTGATTGGGGTATGGACACAGGAAATTGTGGGGGCAAATCAGAAAGAAGTCTCAAAAGAACTTTTTAAAAAGAGCCTGACAAATGATTTCCTCACAAATATATTCCACTACTTGATGGAAAGAGGAAACATGTCTTTTCACATTTCTGAGAGCCCCTAAGAAAAACAGATATATCATTAGATTGAGAGCAGTAATGTCAACACAAGCAAACTCTGCCTGCTGCCGACTGACAGATATTTACCATTTGATGGGCTTTAACTGGTACTCGTGTCAGTGTGTTTGGGGGCAGTGGGAGAGGGGGTAATTTCTATTCTTCTAGGTGTGGCTGGAATAAATCTTCATGTTCCTCCCATTTACTCCATCCACAACATGATGTGTTCCTGAGAAGTGCAGAGGTGCAATAAGGATTGTCTTCATCCATTTTATTTCCTGTGTTTATCTCACATAAAACAACCTCAAATGAGATGGATGAAAATGCAGGGACTGAGTCTCAGGACTTGCTGGGAGACTGCTCTGTTTGATGTCCTAAGCAGGTGGCTGTCCTCTTTGACAGGTAACATGTGGTGTGGCAGAGTTGAGCCATGAGGCTCACATAGAAAGACATTTGCCCAAGCCCAGCATCCTGAACACCAGAGACACATGCAGAATGAGTATGAGCTACAACAAATCCGCATCGAGACTGGAAGTGAGAAAGAGCGTCTGCTTCTGCAGATGGATCTTAAATTGCATTTCCAGAAAGTAAAGATAAGAGTCAGGGGTCATCCCACTATGCCAAGCACTGCAGAGGTAGAAATTTTTGTGTTCTTACTTTTTATTTCAGTCAAGGAGATGCTCTACCTCATCCCCTTGGTAATTGAAAATAGTAACTGGAAGGAGTTGGCTGCCAAAAGAACAAGCCGTTCTTTTTTCTGTCTCCCACAGATATTTCAGGAGCTGGGACTTGGAATTATGAAACAGACACAAAAAAAATAAACATGAAAAGATACTGAAATTATTACCATGTAACACCAGGAAAAAAAAATGTTCCCACTTTCCCATATTGTCCTTATATAAAACACTATTTTTGCCTCCAGAGATAAATTTTCTTTAGCATGTACAGACTTTCCTTATACTCCTCCGACTATATGTTGCAGGTGTGTTGGTGGTGGCAGTGATGGATTTCTGGTGATGTGAGTAGAGTGATGGGGAAATCTCTCAAATGGGATTTATTTTTTAGGTAGCCATATGTTGAGACTGGCAGGCTCCTTTGGGTTTGATCCCCATGGAAGTACACTACCTTTTGGTGACTTATCTGCGGGGCTTTTAAGTCTGAACTCCATCATTGGTTGAGATCCTGTCCTTCAGCATCACAGACAAAGTGTCAGCATCAGGACCAAAGCTGCACTGGGTCTAGATTGTTGGATGAAGAGCCAGGGAAGGGACTTGGACAGAACTAAGAAGCTGCAGAGCCAGGTGGACTCAGGGATCAGAATAAGCAAGCAGTCCAGAGTTAGGATTTTCCTAGAGCTAAGGATCTGAACAAGGCCGAATAAGAAATATGTAGACAATCCAAATCAAGAAACAACATGGGCCACAACTTGCAACAAGTCGGAGACATTTAGAAACCAAGAGGGCATGAATGTGAGAAGGCAGAAAGTTAAAAGTTTAAGGTAAGAGTCAGGAGTCAGGAAAGCCACAGGACTAAGCAGCAGTGGTCTGTATTTATTGTGTATCATGTATATACAGTAATATGTATATATGAGAGATATTTTACATGCATCATCCCATTTAATCCCACAAGTTTAGGAGGTAGGTAGCTTATGAAGTAGGTAGGTATGTAAATTCATATTTTACGTATGAGCAAAATTAGGCTTCTGAGAGTCTAGATCACTTGCCCAAGGTCAGGATTCCAACTCAGGACTATTCCAAAGCTAGTACACTTTCATGTAGTCTTTGAGAGCCAAGTAAGGAATCGAATTCAAGTTACTAGTGGAGAGAAGGACTTTGATTACTAAGACAGTTCCTTTGCTCTCTCACCGAGTTTGTTAATTTCTGAGGCAGAAATTTATTTGATGAAGGCTACCTGGGCCTGCTGATGATAATGTATAAATAGGAGAACTGGCATGGTGAAGAGAGGAAGTGTATGTGTGCACCTGTGCTCATGAGTTGGGAAAAGTATATAGGAAAAGTAAGACAAGGAGGTAAACAAGGAATGGGGCCACAGCTTCTGGCTGGCATATATTGACTCAAGGTTCCCATTACAGGTCAGATTGTTGACAGTTTATTAATGTTGGATGGTTTATACATAAACCTTGAGAACACTTGTCAGTGACTGGCTGGGTTTACTAATTATAAACCAGTAGAAAAACACTGAGCAAACTCTCCTTGTGTGGGCACAACTTTAATGTGAAGCTCTTTCTAAACGGATAAGCACTCATTATCCCTGTGGTATATTGCTGGGTTGTATTTATTAGGTGTGTTTGCCTGAGTTTTATAAATAATATATGACAGCTAGCTTATATTTCTAACAGTTCCTGTTTTTAGAGAACCTAAGTAGTTGGCTAATAAAATCACCACTGTCCATGTGCAACCCTTGCGGGGAATTTAAAATTAATTTTTAAAAATCACTATTGTGTAGCTATTCTCGTTGGAGTGAACTTACCATCTAATGATAAATTATATCTGACCAGCTAAAAAAAGAAGTGTGTCGTTGGCAGAAGTACTGGGACAGTCTTTTGGTTTGGTTTTTGATTTTCCAATATGATTTAGAGGCTTGTTTGTGAATATTCTGGGTGTTGGCAAATCCCCCAGCAGGAATTGCTGGGTGCTGTTGTGTCTAGGGTTGGACCTCTATATAACTCTAATTCCTGTTGATAATAAGGAGCTGATCATCCATTGAATTCTCAGGCAAAGGATCCGTTGATACAAAAGAGATGGCATAATTTTAGCATCCCAAACATGGGTGCATTGTGGTGCTCAGTTTCACAGAGGAATGTTTAGAGTTTGGGAGGGTATGAATAATGACTGTTTCCAAATTCCAGTTTTCTTATGCATATTGAAAGGAATGTAACCTTCACAGTACTAGCTGGTTTTTAATTGTTTCCATTTTTTAAAATCAGGAATTGAGTTGATCTGTGAAAAAGACATTGATCTGGCAGCCCAGGTGCAAGAGTTATTGGAATTTCTCCATGAGAAGCAGCATGAATTGGAGCTCAATGCGGAGCAGACTCATAAGCGGCTAGAGCAGTGCCTCCAGTTACGGCACCTCCAGGCTGAAGTCAAACAGGTAAGCCCGACCCCTTCTTCCTTCAGCCTGGGTTTCTCAGCCAGCCGAGCCTGACCTGGGACCTGCTCCTGATACGAGGTAAGGCATACAGAGCCACAGGTGCCCCTTTAAGTAACCAGCACTTCGAAAATAGGTAAGTTAAGGACTACTTGTATTAGTTTCTGAAAACTTGGCTGCAGTAACAAATAGACCCAGTGATCCAATGGCTCAAACAACAAATGCTTGATTTCTTGCTTACATGACAATCCATTCCAGATTTGTCCTCAGTCACTGAATCTATTCTTTCTTTCTATCCTCAATCCTGTCAAGCAGTCCATGGGAAATATACAAATCCTTTATCAATAAGCATATTTAGGATATAGAGTCAGGTTAATTAATTTGGGGCACCCGTGTGCCTGACATATAGTTAATATTCAGTAACTAGTAGCAATTACCGTCACTATTTCCAAAGTGTGTATGGTTATTATAGGAAAGTTTTCTTGCCATATTAAAGTTGATTTTAAAAAGGAAAAAGCTTATCTGCATGAAGCATCATGCTAGGCGTTTTATGCTTAATCTCTAGGAGCCTGTGGGAACATACACACAATGACCAATGTCACATTTTTAAAATAGTACAGGCCAGGCATGGTGGTTCATACCTGTAGTCCCAGCACTTTGGGAGGCCAAGGCAAGAGAGTCACTTGAGGCCAGCAGTTTAAGACCAACCTGGACAACATGGTGAGACTGCACAAAAAATGTTCAATATTAGCTGAATGTGGTGGCACATGCCTGTGGTCCCAGCTAATTGGGAGGCTAAGGAAGAAGGATCGCTTGAGTCCAGGAGTTTGAAGCTGCAGTGAGCTGTGATCATGTCACTGCACTCCAGCCTGGATGACAGTGCAAGACCCTGTTTCCAAAAAATAAAAATTACAAAAAGTACATATATTAAGAACAGACTAAGTGGTAATTGTTTTAATTCACTATTTGTACAAAGGTGGGGGTGAAGAAGTAAAAGTATAATAATAGTTCCATTTTGTTGAGTGCTGTGGGCGTGTTACACACATCTTCATCCATCCTCACAACCATTCTCTGAAGTAGACTTTATTCCCATTTTATAGATGAGGCCACTGAAGCTTAAGAGGTCAGCAGACCACGATCACCCTGAGGAGAGAGCACATCACCGCTCTCCACAGGTCCCAGAGGGGTTCCCAGCAGGGCAGGTACCACATCACTCCTGTGGTTGCCCCTTTCTGCCCCATTCTACCCAAATCATCCTAAGCAAAGAAGCATCTTTTAAACACATTTTTTTCTTGTCTGTAGTGGCTGCTGGAGCTTTTACCTTTTTTCTTCAGAAAACCATAGCTCAGCATGCTGGAACTTTTAGAATTAAAGCCTTTTAATTTAGTATGAGGGCCAAAAGCATCTTATTTTGTTAAATTGTTGCTTGATTCCTTATATTAAAGGTATTCCTTCCTCTAATGCCTCTGTCTTAGTTATTATATTGTTATTTATTATAAGTCTATCTTCTCCACTCCCCATCTCTTCCAATCAGTGCTGAGCTATAGCCCACACACGCCATGCTAAAGATCTGTATTCCGTGCAGATTACATTCCTGAGCCCCAAGCAAGGCAGGGTTACAGTGCTGCCCTCCAGGTTGTTTCTGCTTAATGACACTGGGATCAAACCTGAGTCTCCAGAGAGACATGTTATTTATAAGGACTTGATGGAAATCCTAGCAGGCCCAGAACAATAATGAGTATGCAAATTCTGCGACTTAGTAGTTAAGGCTGGACTTTCTTTTCATATGAGAAATCCTTTCTCATTTATAATCTCATTTTAAGAGAACATACCCATGGGGAGAAGTGGTGTTATGCTTACTTTTCAAATGAGGAAACTAAGGTACCATAGGGTTAGTGCTCCCCAAGCCCTCTTGACTAGTCAGCTGAAACTTCAGCCCAGGCCTCCTAAATCCAAGGTCCTACAGTTTGCCTCTGCTGGCCCCCACTCTTGCCATGTGGTCCCAGGAGAAACAGAAGCCCTCCAACGTAGGTGAAGTGAAATGGGCCAGGCACAGAAATACTACACGCATGTGGGAGCTAAAAAAGTAGATCTCATAGAAGTGGAGAGTAGAGTAGTGGCTATCAGAGGTAGAGAAGGGTAGAGGGGAGGGGATGATAAGGAGAGGTTGGTTAATGGGGACAAAATTACAGTTAGAAGGAATACATTCTAGTGTGGTATAGTACAGTAGGGTGACTATAGTTAACAACAATTTATTGTATATTTCAAAATAGCTAAAAGAAAGGAATTTGAATGTTTCCAACACAAATAAATGAGGTGATGGTTATCCCAGTTACAATGTGCACTACACATGGTATATCTGTATCAAAATATCACATGTATCCCATAAATATGTACAATTATGTTTATCAATTCAAAATTTAAAATAAGAATCCTTCTAGCTGAATAGTCTTAGGTTTTCCTGACCTCAGCAGTACCATGTATGAGAGGACAGGAGCAGGCATAGCCTAAGCTTGATGGAGGGGGTGGCACCTGTCTGAGGTCAGCAAGGCTCCAGCAGGTCATCGAAGTCCTCTGCTGCACCTACTTGGTTATTTCCATCAGTGGAAGGTGGCAGGAATGACCATCTGAACAAAACATAACAGGAAAATCATTCCTATTTGACTTTGAAATGAAATATATAAATTTGCTTTTGTTCCTGATTTTTAATTTATTTTTCTCCAGCACCAGTGGTAGATTCAGCTCCCTAATTCTCTTTTCCTTGGCTGATATTAAAATAGAAATATATTCATTCTCCAACTACACATCCTATATAGGAGGAGACTGGGCTGATGATAAGTATTTTGTTAAATAGGGAGTGGACTGTCTACATATAAATAATCTGGGGTGGACTAATATCTATATACATTCCCATTTATAATATCATGAGTGGGGAGACAAATAAAGGAATTCTTCTGTGGGGGTGGGAAGATTCCTTATTTCTACCGTGACAAAAATGACACACCGTGGGATTGTCGTTCAAGACTGTACAAAATTGCTCAAACCGGATTCTCAGGAAATCTACCAAACCCTTTGCAAAGGGCATTGGTCCTCGAGATGCCAAGGGACTGCTGCTTGGTTAAGCCACCATGCCTCATTAGACAGGCTTGTTTTCCTTGTCAGTGTAGGCTCTTTCCTTAGGGAGCCCTCTGATCCAGTTTCAGAGAAGGCATTTGTATTTGATGGAAATTGGTGGAGCAGGAAATATTGATTTGGAAGCTGTTGACTCTTGGAAAAAGGGAGTTAATTTAGATGTCGGTATTGATCAGTGAGGCTAAATTTAGACAGTAGCTTGAGAGTCTCTTTTGAATATAGTCTCAAAAAAGAAAGAAAGAAAAAGGACACTTTAATTGAAATGCCATTAATGGGGGCAGAAAGGGAGAAGACAATAATAGATTATGATACAACTATGTCATTAGAGCTCATAGATTAAAGGTTTAGATGTGATCATGGCCCATCATAACCTTAAGTGTAGTTTTACCAAAATAATATTAAACTGAAGTACTGAAAAGCAAGGAAGGCACAGACATTAGACTAAAAATTATATTAATAGACTCAAAAAAAAAATGAAATTGATTGATGCAACTGATTTTCTTTCTGAGGGTTTATATAGTACTTTATAGCTAAGATAGATAGCCCAAACACCCCCTAGAGAAATGGTGGACCTTGAAGGGAAACCACTCCACTAATTACAGCCCATGGAGCAGATCCCTGGACCACTCAATGCCAAATTACTCTTCAAACCCCACAGAATGCTCTGATAGCTACCAGGAAAATTACTACTCTGGTGAAGATGACCTCACATCTATTAGATAATTCAGAAAGATTTGAAAGACCTACCTAATGAGCATAAAACTAAATGAATTTCCATATGTATTCCTGCAAAGCAGTGCATTTAGCAGAAAATAAGCTAAAATGGATTTATAAAATGTTGTGTCTCTAAGCTATGAGGAAAGAAGTTATATTTATTTGATTACTAAAGACATTGGCTTAATTTCCTTCTTTGCACCAAATGCTGGCCAAAATTTGCATATAATCAAGATGGACATTTAGGACAAAGGAGAAAATATTAATGTGTCCTCATTCTCCTGTGGAGAATACTGTGTTCAGTTCTGTTGACTGAATATAAAAGAGAGGAATTGAAGTAGAGCCAAAAGAGGGGCAGCCAACAGGACAAGTACCATCCTTTTGTTTCAAAATGGAGATAATTAAGGGGACATATGGCCACAGTCTATAAACCATGAAGGATGAACATCTGCAGTCTCATAGACCATGGATTTTTAGAACTAAGGAATACTGGACATATGACAGGCTCCGTGCTACCATCTGAGGAGCTGATTATTTTTCCTGTGGCTAGAGTTTCAGAAACAACTATGCCTTGTGATAAATCATCTATAATAGAGGTCCTTAGAGTCAGTTGCCTTGAGTACAACCTCATAGCTTTGCTGTAGGTGTGACCTTGAGAACACAGCCATCTACAGACGACTTTCCAGTCTACATGGTTACAAGGCTCAGCCTGCCCAGCTTAAATGGCATCACCATTTGTGGATATCTTCATCCACTTACTCAAATCCATTCTCCGGACTTGGGCTTAGCTGAGCTTTCCTGGCCTGAAGAAGCAATAGATCTTCATGTACAGTTCCCCCTCAAGCTCAGACTGAGCTGAACTTTTGACCTAGCTCTTAAGTCCCCAAGCAGTGATATTCTTTCAGTCCTTCATTTCTACGTAACTGATTTTCTTGGACACCCTAGGGGCACTCTTTGAGTTTTGAAAGTAGTGTGGAATGTTAGAGCTGGAAATTATCTTTAAAGATCATCTAACCTATTGGCTAAATTGTTGCCTAAAATGTTTGATCAATGTCAATATTCATTTTACAGTTTGAAAAATACTTTTACATTAATTATTTTATTTTTTCTTTACCCCGAGCCTTATGCAAGGAAAGTGTTCACATTTTACAGATGAGAAAACTGAGCCTTGGGGAGCTTAAATGATGTTTGCAAGGTCACACAGCTCAAGATTAGTAGAACCAACGTTTTCTCATTTTAGTTATGATGTTTCTTAACTTGCACATATTTGTATGCTCACAGAAGACTAACTAGCCAGTTGTATGAACCTGGAAGATTAAAAATACCAGTAATAGAAAATTATACCAACAAGGGTTATCAGTGATCACAGTAAAAGGATAATGATGACAAAACAGCTAAGGAAGCTACATCACATCAGAATATGCCAGTAAGCTCATACAGACACTGGAATAAAGCTCTCTTCTCATTAAGAGAGGTATAAATAATCACCTTATTATCCAGCTTTTCTCTAAACTAAAAATCACCACCAGTACCATCATAATCATCAGACTTTACATTTTACGCATTGTTGCGTCAACCCTGCAATGCAGAAAAGGAAGGTACAATTATCCTTATTTTACAGATGAGAAAACTGAGACTCAGAGGGGTTAAGTGATTTTTCCAGGTAAGTAAAAAGCCGCGTTTCTGACTCCATATGTTATGTTATTTTTCTGCTATGCCAGGTCTATGTCCAGGACTGACTCTTTCATAGGGATCAGTCCCACTCTGGAGCTAAGCCATGGATGTAAACTACCATGCATTTTTAGCTTCCTAAAATCTAATCTCCCACTTTAAAGTCCTGGAATGCCTTTTTAAACAGCATTTAGTAAATAAAAATGAACAAGGAAATGACGTGATATAATTTAAAAAGTAGGTACTGAAACCCATGATGTTTCTAAATGGGAAGCTGGTAAGTAGGGATCCCACCACCATAGCTATAATTCATGTTTTCTGTTGACTGAAACTGGAGAGAAAAATTTTCTAACAAAACTGAAGAGGTCCAAAGGGAGTCAAATTGTCCTACAGGCATTGATGTGTGATGCACTTGGAGAAGTCGTTTCGCTGACACCCTCAAATGAATCTTCAGACCAAACAAAATGCAGTAAATCATGGCAGAGGGATACCGTAAACTCCATTTCCCAAAGAGATGAGGCATTTGGGCATGCAGTCTATGAATGCATGCGCCCAAAGTTACAGGCAACTTTTCAAAATAATTAGCACCTCTAGGCAGCCAGCCACAGTCCACCAGTGACAACAGGGATTTCACGTGAACACCCTGAGCAGTTATTTCCTCTAACTAATTGCTTTACAGATTGGCATCTCATCTACAATCTGCCAGCCTGGCTGTGAATTAACATCTCAATCCAAGTAGCCCAGCTTTAGTGGGATTTATGACCTGATGTTATCTATGCACAATAAGGCATGAGTCATTTTTTGCCCAGGGATGAAATTTGAGAGGTGCCTATGAGTTATAGAGCACGAGACTAGGCTTGGTATTTTCTAATTGTTCAATATGAGGAAGTAGAGGGGAGAAAAATATGAAAGCAAATCTGAAACAGATAGTGGTGTCTTTCTCCTTTGGCATGAGGTGATAGATGGGTGGTATTTACTGATCTTGAAATTTCAGAATAGCTTGTATTTCTTCTCCAAGCAAACTCTCAGACTCCCTAATAAGGAAAGTATTTGGCAGTGTTCTGGTGACCAGACACCAGGTAGGTTTTCAGAGCCTAACGCTTCCAGTTGCATTATTTGTTCTGACTTTATTAGCTGGATAATTTCCACATCCCTTTTTCACCTAGAACTCTCTAGACAGTGTCAGCTGTTTCTTCTTCTATCCTAATATTCCTTCATTGAGTTTTCTTTCTCCCAGTACTTGTTAACCTCACATAGAAGTTGTATTCAGCCTACCCATGGCCTCTAAATAATTTAAGTCGATTATATTATAGCTTACTCCCGTTTTTCTGATGATTCAGAAGATGGGTTATTCCTATTTTGCTTGTTTTCTTTCTCTTTTCTCCTTTTTTGGGGTTGTTTACCTACTGAAGTTCAAACCTGCCTACCCTTGGTTATTTTGCAGGGTAGAGGAGATTAGACTTACTGCTCAGGTGTGACCTGGGTATACTCCATTACTTCAAAAACTACACCACACCCATTATATGCGAAGTACTGTGCTAGGTACTGTGTGAGACTAAAATATGACTAATATATTGCCCCAGATTTCAGGAAGTTTATGTTCTCAGGGGGGAATGAAACATAGGTTGAAATAAAGAAACCAGGAAGTCTGTGGTGACTACCATAAAGGTGGTACATGCAAAATGATATGCTCGCACTAGATGAAGATGAGATTGTTTCTAGCAGGAGAGATTAGGTGCAAAAGGTTTCCATAAGTTGTTGTTATTTGAACTGGACCTTATAAAAAAAGAAAAGGATACCAACAGATGGAATGTATTTATTTATACCATCCTATGTTCCAGAAGGAAGTTTAGACATGTATACAGTACCACCATGTTAAGTAATGTTTACATTATGTGGGTGAGGAAATAGGGACGGGGGTGACGTGGAGCTGGGAATAAAGCAGGTACATAAAATAAGTACCTTATGGCACAGGTACTCTGTATGATTGGGGAGATGACCATTTAAATTATGGAGACCTTTGCTGTCCTCTCTCCAACAGAAGATAAATGATAGTGAGCTCTGTGTCTGAAGTCCCCATGAGAAGAGGCAACAGCTCTGGGGAAACTGCGGAAGGCCATTCATCTGTGTGCTTGTCCCGATTCCCTAGGTCCTGGGATGGATCCGCAATGGAGAGTCAATGCTCAACGCCAGCCTGGTCAATGCCAGCTCTTTGTCTGAAGCAGAGCAGCTGCAGCGGGAGCACGAGCAGTTCCAGCTGGCCATCGAGGTAACACCCAAATCTGGCTGCACTGTCCTCCCTTCCCCTTTCTGCTCTGTACCTCAGGCAGGGTGATTCTCAGGTGTGGGTGTTCCTTCAGGCAGCGAAGGTAGAATGGTCCAGGGAGCCTCCCTCTTACCCAAAAATTAATGGGGAAGCAAATGCAGGGGTTCATCCTCCAGGGAGGCCTGGTGTTAGAAAACAAGTATTCACACTTCATATGAGAATCTTTGTTATCTATCTGTACCTTCAACCTTTAAGGCCACTGGTACATTGGTTTTTTTAATACATTCTAGATATGTACCATGTGAGGAAATGTAAAAGTAAAAGGTTAGAAGTCACTTCCGGTGAAGATCACTCAAGATTGAGGATAAACAAGTACAAAGGTCATATAAATTAGGATCCTGTTTTTAACCATTTGGTTTACATGTAACCCTTAGATACTATTGTCAGAGTCTGCCTTTTAACAAGGATAATGAGCGTTGGAGCAGATTGCACCAGATATTTTTACCCCGCTGAAAGTAGTTGTTCAATAATGCTGGTAGAACAATATTTAAAGAATAAACTGCAACCAGAAGAAGTTCATCAACAGGGACTTTTTAGAACGCTATTTAAAAATAAAACTTCATTTATGATAATCTAATATAAATTTTGTCTTGCTTTAAGTACCCTTAATTATCCTTTTTTACTAGGACATTGTCCTTCCCAGAGAGACTTGAACTGATTGCTTTAGAGTGGTGTAGGAAAAAGAGTAGGAAATGGGACACGGGAACTATATTAAAAATAAAATAAGGTAATTACCAATGGGAAAAGAGACAGAATGAAAACTTCAAAGACATTCACTACTTGTGGTTCAGTATAGAATTCAACCCACTTCTGAGTGTGTAAGAAATGCAAAGATGTTATCTTTTGCTTAAAAAAAAAAAAAAAAAAAAAGATTGTTAATGGGTCATTTCTACAGCAACGATGGCAAAATAATAAAATTTTAATTGCCTGTGTCTTTTTATGCAATAATCCAACTGATTGCTCGCCATTTTTAAGCTAGTGTTGATTGATTGCAACCATTTAATTTCCCGGAAACCATTGTGGATGTATAAACAGTGTTAAGATGCATGATATTTTCTTAGGAACCATTACTAGTACTAGAAGAACTGTCTGGGATTTGAGATTTAAAAACAAACTTCATATTGCACACACTGCGTCAGCAAATCATTTTCTAAGGCGGAATTAACCAGAGGAAATAAGTTTTATTACCATCAGCTGTCTCTATTGTAGCTTTCTGACACATCGAAATATCACAGTGTTAGGATATATTCACTATAAAGAAAAAATCAGGGTTGGGGTTATAATCAAGAAACAGGGCCAGGCATGGTGGTTCACGTGTGTAATCCCAGCAATTTGGGAGGCCAAGATGGGCAGACAGCTTGAGGTCAGGAGTTCAAGACCAGCCTGGCCAAATGGTGAAACCCCATCTCTACTAAAAATACAAAAATAAAGTAGCCAGGCATGGTGGTGGGTGCTTGTAATCCCAGCTACTCGGGAGGCTGAGGCAGGATAATTGCTTGAACCCAGGAGGTGGAGGTCGCAGTGAACTGAGATTGTACCACTGCACTCCAGCCTCGGTGACAGAGTGAGACCCTGTCTCAAAAACAAAAAAAGAATTGGACACACAGCAGTCAAGTTCCCACAGTCATAGCAGCAACGAAGAAAATGAAGGCTGAGTGATCAGACTAGAGGTATAGCACAGTTATGAGGCATGCTGGGCAGAATGAAGACAGCTCTTGGCCATACCTCCTCTTTATTTATCTTTGGTGAGAAGGTTTGCCTAAATCAAATGGTGGGCAAGTAAGACCAAATGTCATAACACACTTAAGCATCTCAATGAGCTTTTGAGGAAGCATGGGTAAATGTATTCACAGTGCTTGAAATGACTATATTCCACATGACTGCATATGCAGTACGTATTCATTTGTGTTAGATACCGTTTCATCTTTACAGAATAGAGGCTCACTAAGCATAAACACCTCTTAATCAGTTCTGGGTTTCTCTCTGGATACAACTTGATCAAATATTCTTGGAATTGATGTTGAGATATAGGCCACTTAGTCTCGAGAGGGCATGGCAGAGCAGTTAGGATTTCTAGAAGATATTGGGAATGAAAGGTAGGGAGAGTCTGCATTGCCTAGAACAATGAAGGGAACAGAACCAGAATTGCAACATATGCTCCTTCTCCAGGTGGCCTGCATTTCTCCTTAAATGTGTCAGTTCAGACTAGGCTCTCCATCAGAAGGAAAATATGCCAGGGAAGATAAGCTATTTCAAAGGGAGTGAAAGCAGTTGGGTTTGGCTTAACCCACTTTGACAGTGTTACTAGAGGCCTTTACAATGATTGTTGGTGGGGAGCATAATTTGACTTCTTTCTTGAACCCTAAGAAAGAACCCTGGGTTCCATCAGGGAAAATAAAAAAGTAGTAAATAGGATGCATATAATTTATTGTTTAAATGAGATCCTTTAAAGGTGAAGAAGGGAATTATTAATAACTAAGCCAGAAAAATAGGCATATACTGGAACTGTCATGGGCAAACTATGATGTTTGCTAACTTATAATATCTTGGGTGACCTCATTAGATTGAAGGTTTTGGTCTTTCTAAGGAAGGTCAGGATTTTTACCTGAAGTGGCCTCAGTTTCAAGAAGTCTTTCCCAGAGCCATTCAGGATGGAAAGCAGTACAGAGCATTTGAAAGAAACTTAGCTTTGTCAAACCCAGAATATTATTTGTTAGTATCTAAGATGTGGCTGATTAATCTTCATGAACTGTGAACTTCAAAATCTATTGTTCTTTGAAATCCTCTTATGCATTTTAAGAATAAGCATTATGTCAGAAGAAGTAGCTAAAACTGGATAATAAATTCAGTTGATTCAGTTCCACTCTCTTCTGTGTACTCCTACTAAATATTAATGTCCTTGATAATCCATGTCTTAAGGATATAGCACTCAACAGGATTAGATAATGGGGAGTAGAAATAAGTGCAAAATAATTACTTAAGCTCAGCAAAGCAAAGATTATGTTATATGGATAAGAGTTTATCATTTAGGAAATTAAAGGGGGAAGGTACTCCCAGGACTATTACATGATAATGAATTTCAAAGTAAGAAAGAACATTTGTATATATATTATATATAATATATATTTCCATATATTGTGGGAAAATCAAGGTTACTCCTCCACTGTCAGAGAAAAATACATAACTGTTTTATGATAACAATTCTATGCTCATTTTAGATATTGAAAAGAGGCCAGATAATTATCATAATTGTTAATGTTCATTTGGTGAACCCTTCCTCCAAATGAGATACTATAGATACTGTTCTAATTGCTAGAGATGAAATGATGTGATGAGCTATAGTAGAAAGAACACAGGTTTGGGAATAGGTCAAATATGAGTCTTAATTCTGGTTTCATTACTTCTTTGGGTGTACATTTTTGGTCAAGTCACTTAGCCAGCTGAGCCTCAGTTTCTTAATCTGTGAATTGGGAGTAATAATATCCACCTCGTAGTCATGTTGAGAGAACTAGAAAATATATGCATAAGCACAGTGCTTATGATTTTTCAAACCATCCTTGCCTTGAGAGTGTCACAGTCTAAGTAAGGAGAATCAACCAAGTGTTAGATGAGTGACATAGAAGTTCAGAAGAGGGTGGTTTACAGTGAGTCTCTGGCTATCTGAAAAGGCCTCATCCAAGGAGGGTAGACTTTAGCTGAGTCTCAAAGGGAAGCTGGAACATGTATGGGGAGAGATTTGGACAGCCATAAAAGGCAGGAAGAATGAAGGCAGCAAAAGCAAGAAAGTACGTGGTGTGTTTTCAAAGGGTTTTTGTAAGGAAGTAATTCGTGATCATGTTATGGAAGTAGTTTGGGACCATGTTGTAATGAGGGCCTTTTAATGACAGCCTCCAAAGTTTGGACTTAATTTCAAAGCAATGGGAAGACCACTGAAGGCTTGAATTGAGAGAAGGTAGTGGCATTTATGATATAAAATGAGAGTTTTAGAGCTGGAAAAGATGTTAGAAGTCTTATAATGCTAATACTTCCCATTACAGAGAATTAAAGGAATCTGTTAAAAATGTAAAGGATGAATTTTATGAATTAGAAATGGAAGGCAAGAAGACTCATTAGGTCATCACCACAACAGTCTGTGTGTAAAGTGGTGAGGGCAGGGCTGGGACTGGGGAGAGGGGAACAGCAAGCAAGAATGATGTCAAGATTGTAATCCTAGGAGGAGAGAGAAGGAGAGTGCCAACAGAAGTGGCAGATTACCATAAGAAAACTGTTTTAAAGATAAGAGGAGTTTAGTTTCAGCTGTGGAACTTGAGAAGCTGTCTAGGAGAGGTAGAGGCTCTAATAGAGCAGGAAAGCCTTTCCCATTCACTGGCAAGGGCCTCTCCTCTCTCCAGGAAGATCACTTTTACTGAATGCATCTTTCTGGCAGGCTGACATAGGACAGACAGCTAGATCAACTGAATCAGTGCTGCTCCTAACTAGGGTGAGACCTGTGCAGGCAACTCACCCTTGCGTCTGAAGGCAACTGAAGAAGAGTCAGATGTCAGACAAGAGACATAGACTGGGGAGTCATCTGCAGAGAGAAAACAATAGAAACCAAGGGAAGAGATGAGAGCGCTGCAGCAGTGGGGCAGGGGTGGGGGTGGGGGAAGAGCTGACCTTGGTACCTCTACATTTAGGAGACAGGAAAAGAAAATGGTGCCGATAAGCAAGACAAAGGAAGAAAACCAGGGATTTGTAGTGGATTGTTTCCACCCACTAGCTTACTTTCTCTAGCTTCGTTAAGCAATTAGGAACCCAAATGCTGATGTGATCATCAGGATCGGATCGAGGGCTGACTCAGTGGCAAGGCAGGGAATGAGGGAGTCTCGGTTGCTAAGGAGGTCATGCTAGCATTGCTAACTCTGAGTACAGATTCAGGAGAGGGTGAAGAGAAGCCAGAGGTGGGGGATAGACTGGAGAAGATAAATGAGAATGTGTACACTGCAATCTGGAATGAGGGTGAAGGGCCATCATGGTGGGAATCAGGGAGAGGTATAGGTGAAAACGAGTAAGGCTCTACTCAGACACAGGGAGTGCAGAGTGGATTAGCTCTTGGGAACTGTCCAGAATTGCTGCCCAAGAAGAAGGGCAGAAAATAATTCTGGAGTAAGTTACTGAGTTCTAGCTGTTCTTTTTCACTGCCAGCTGAACTATTATTTCCTCAAAGTGCAAAGACCAAATTAGTACTACTCCATCAGTCTGGAACAATCCCAGCAGTTGAGGTTGGGATGATATTAGCTCTGTCAAGTCAGTGGGGCTCTAACATTCTCTTATAGATCATCCACATCCGTATTTTGTCTTAGTAAATCTTAATCCCATTTGGTTCTTTCCCGGCCACCCTAGTTCTCCCCACCTTCTACAGTTAATATAAACTCAGATAACACATAGCACATTTAGCCTAAATCAGAAAGGATTAAAAAAAAAAAAAATAGACCTTCTGGCCAGGTGTGGTGGTTCTTGCCCGTAATCCCAGCACTTTGGGAGGCTGAGGCCAGAGGATCATTTGAAGCTAGGAGTTTGAGACCAGCCTGGGCAAGACAGCAAGATCCCATTTTTACAAAAAGTGAAAAATTAACCAAGTGTGATGGCACACACCTGTCGTCCCAGCTATCCAGCTACTTTGGGGCCTGAGGCAAGAGGGTTGCTTGAGCCCAGTTCAAGGCTGCAGCAAGCCATGATTGCATCATTGCACTGCACTGTTCAGCCTGGGTGACAGATCAAGACCCTATCTCAAAAAAAAAAAAAGAAAAAAGAAAAAAGAAAGAAAATAGACTTTGTACATATATATGTATCTCCTGAAGGGATATGTAAATAACATGGGGATTATATATTGAGGTGAATTATCTCCTGCACTGTTGTGCCCCCCGGTGAAGTAATTAAGGGATGATGTAGGAGATTATTCTCTAGCTTTGTTAACCTTCCAAATTTATTCCTTCAAGTGGAATCTTTTTCAACTGATTATTAATGTTTTAAATGATTGCATTGTTAGCTGAGATTTGTGTTACATGAAGTTTCTTTTCATGTGCTGTCTATACTTGATCTGTAAAATGGGACTGCAGTAGTAACCTCCTTTGAAAACTCAATGTACAATTTTATTATTCTATATGCGAAGGAAATTTATGAACCAGTTAGGGAGCAGATTGATACACAACTTCTGTTTCCCTTCTATAGAAACTGAAATGTCCTTAAAATCTAGAGTGCCGCAAGGAAAAAGAAAGAAATGGGGACAGAATGTAGGGTCGTGAGAGATTAGCTAATAAAAATGTATGATATTCTTTTTTAAAATATGCTTTAAAAATAATAATGTATTAATGGTCATGACAAAATGGATCAGTCATTTAAAGCTCTTTAACTTCTCTGCATCTTTTCACTCACGCCTCACTCCACCCCCTCCCATACCACGCCTGGGTTGTTCCCACGGACCTTTCTCTCCTCTCCTTGTGCCCAGTCCCTCTTTCATGCCACTTCCTTGCAGAAGACGCACCAGAGTGCCCTGCAGGTACAGCAGAAAGCCGAGGTGCTGCTCCAGGCCGGCCACTACGATGCCGATGCCATCCGGGAATGTGCTGAGAAGGTGGCCCTCCACTGGCAGCAGCTCATGCTGAAGATGGAAGACCGGCTAAAACTGGTCAATGCCTCTGTGGCCTTTTACAAAACTTCTGAACAGGTGAGGGAAAGGACTGTGGGGCTTGTGGGGCTGAGATTGACAGAGGACTATTTTCTGCCTTGCAGTGTTAATGTGCAGTACTTAACGTCAGCGAAAAGCCAGTCCTCTCCGTACTAACATTTGAAGAATAATTTGTGGAAACACCACAGTTGGCTTCCTTATCATCCTTGCCATTTGAGCACTGGACCATGGGGTTTGTTTCTCATAAATTTCTCAAACTTACCAGATCTATAGGGAGGTATTGAAATAGAAATTGGGTGTATACTAAAGGCTAGATTTGGACAGTATATTAGTCAGCTGTTACCACCATAGTGCTGTGTAACAAAACACCTCAAAACTCAGTGATATAAAATAATAAACATTTATTTTTTTTGCTTAAGTGTCTGGGGTTCAGTTGATCTTGGCTGAACTTGGTAGAACTAGGCTTTCAGATGCAGACTGGGTCTAGATCTGTTCCCATGTCTCTTGTCCTCCTTGACCTGAAGCCATCTCAGGCACATTTATAGTTAAAGGCAGGAATACAAGAGTCCAAAATCTACCATACAAGTGCATTTCAAGTCTTTGCTTGTGTCATATTCTCTTTCATCTCATTGGCTAAAATAAGTCACATGGCCAAGCCAACGTCAGTGAGGCAGCAGTGCCTCCTATGAAGGTTAGGAGAGGAGAATGAATAGTGGCTGAACAATAATTAAATCTACCACAGTTAGGCATTATGCACTGCTTGAAAAACACATGGTTCTTTCATTCCTGGGGCCTCCAGTCTAATGGAGGAAACACAGCTCTCTGACACTGGGGAACTAGGAATGCACCGGATAAGATGATGCTGCTGTGGGAGAAAAGGCAGGAGCTGGGCAGCAGGGCCATAAAGATGCAGTGTGTTACCCTTTCATCTGTACAGCAATATGCACAGGGCTAAGAGGATTTTTAAAATGACTTGGGTGCTGTTAGGGAATTATTTTTATGAAACAGGTTTAAAACAGGAGTAATTTTATTCAATGTATAGTAGTTTCCTTCTCTGAATTGTTCCCTGGTAGAAATAAATCAGAGAATCATTCTCCTTGGGTGACTTACAGGGACCATCGGAAAGTCTCCCTTGGAGAAAATGTGACATGTGCATCAGAGGGCCCTACAGCCAGGGTTAGAGTCTCCATCCCTTCTCTCAGTCCTTTCTGTTGCTTCAGAGGGATGACTCCTTTGATGGCCACAGAAGTGAGGAGCTGCAGACTAAGATGATAAAGAGCATCCCCAGTTGATCCATAGATTCAACACAGTCTCAGTCAAATCCCAGCAAGCTTTTTTTTGGTAGAAATTGATACATTGATTCTAAGATTTATATGGAAATAAAATGAAAATGCAAAGAATACAGATGCAAAGAAACTAGAACAGCCAAAACAATTTTGAAAGGAAGAACAAAGTTGGACAAGTCACACTGCCTGATTTAAGGACTTATTCTAAAGCAGCAGGGATCAAGACAGAATGGTATTTGGAATAAGAATAAACACAATGAGACAGAATAGTGGTGATAGAAATAGATCCACATATATACAGTCAGTTGATTTTTGACAAAAAAATTCAATGAGTGAAGGAAAGTCTTTTCAGCAAAGGATGCTGGACAACTGAATATCCGTATGGAAACAAATGAGGCTTAATTCCTGTCTAATATTATACACAAATTTTAATTTGAAATGGATCAAGATGGTGAAGGGCACTGGAATAGGAGTCAAGAAATTTTACCCTGAAGTGACCTTGCCAAAGGTTACTTTACCCCTCTGGATTTCTGTTTCCTCTCTTGTTAAAGTATTTATACCTAATAATCTTTCCATTTCTTCCAACTCCCAAATTGTTTGCTCCTAAGTTCAGTCCTATCATGAGACAGATCTTAAGTACCCTTTTTCTTAAAGTTTTTGCATGTCTATAAGCTGTTTTATCTCAAAACATGAGCTGCCTGCACGTTTCAGGCCTTTCAGAAAGAAAGACGTGATGCTAGAGATGGGACTAGAGAAGTCACCTTGAGTTCGGTGACAGATCTTCTCATGACGCGAGAAGCGTGTCTGGCTATGAGGGTGTTCTTCCTGGGACAGCTTTCAGCACATCTTTCAGCTCAGTTCATAACTCAATGAATGCCCTATCCAAAGACATCTTTCATCTGGCTGGGCGCGGAGGCTCACGCCTGTAATCCCAGTACTTTGGGAGGCCAAGGCAGGTGGATCACTCGAGGTCAGGAGTTCAAGACCAGCCTGACCAACATGGTGAAACCCCATCTCTACTAAAAATACAAAAATTAGCTGGATATGGTGGTGGGCACCTGTAATCCCAGCTACTCGGGAGCCTGAGGCAGGAGAATCACTTAGGCAGAGGTTGCATTGAGCTGAGATTGCACCACTGCACTCTAGCCTAGGTGAAAAAGCTAGACTCCATCTCAAAAGAAAAAAAAAAAAAGACATCTTTCATCAAAAGACTTTCTCAGAGAAGGCCAAGGATAGTCATAGCTGTTCTTCCCTGCTGCCATATCCAAACAAGTAATCAAAGTCTATTGAAGGAAATCCAGTCTTCCCAAGGTCTATTGAAGGAAATCCAGTATCCGTGGGGTATTTGTTTCAGGACCCCTCACAGATACCAGACTTTTCAGATGTTTACGTTCCTGATATAAAATGGCATAGTACTTGCGTGTAACCTATATACATTCTCCCATGTAATTTAGATCATCTCTGGATTACTTATAATACGTAAGTATTATAGTAAATAGTTGTTGTACTCTATTGTTTTTATTCGTATTATTTTTTATTGCTGTACTTTTTAACTAAGTATTTTCAATCCATAGTTGGTTGAATCATGGATGTAGAACCCACAGATATGGAAGGATGTCTGTATGGAATATGAGTTTCAATTTTCTGCATCATCCTCCAGGCCCTGATACTAGGCTGCCTTGAGTTTTCCACTGTGAGACCCAGGCTGAATTTCCCTCCAAACCTACTTCAAAATGCTTTTGCTCTCTTCTGAGTTCATTTATAAGGTCACTTAGCATGGCCTCTCAGCATCTTTAGAACTAAAAACCTTCTTAACTGTCTTTTAGGTTAACCCAAATTTGTTACCCCTCTACAGGAAATGTGTATTTTGTAATAGAGATCCTGGAGATGTCATGTATTATGGTTGGATTTTTGAGACATTTTTCTCCAGGGTAGGAAAAAGATGACATTCATTTATGGCCCGTAAACCATACAACATAGGCAACTTCCTCCTTTGTCTCTGCTTGAGGCTACTTACTATGGGACAAGTACAGATGGTCGGATAAATCAAGTTATCTTCTCCAAACCTCGTTTCCTGTTCTACCTAATTTATAGTTATTGTGAGATTATAACAATATGTAAAAACACTGAAACTCCAAAGATACCAGACTGTCTTACTTTCTTACTTTACCTACTATTCTTAGTTAATGTCATCAACTCCCATAAAAAGATGATTCCAGAATCCATATCTCCAGTCATAATGTCTCCCAGGTTTCAGACACAAGACTGTCACTGCCTCCTGGATTTCTCTTAGATGTCTCAGAGGCATTAAACTTCTAATGAAAAATGTCATATGTGTAGGCTTCTATAGGCTGAAGGTCCTCAGAGAATACTTCCGGAATAATTAATTTACTGAGTCTTTTCTTCCATGGTTCACTAGGTATGTAGTGTCCTGGAGAGCTTAGAGCAAGAATACCGGAGAGATGAGGACTGGTGTGGTGGACGAGATAAGCTGGGGCCAGCGGCAGAGATCGACCATGTCATTCCACTCATCAGCAAACATTTGGAACAAAAGGAGGCCTTTCTTAAGGTCAGAGCACATTGTCATGCAAGGGCTCAGACTCCTGGCCTTGGCCTTGTTCTTTTATCCTCTTTCTCTTTTTTCTCCTTTCTTTCTTTCCTTCTTTCTTTTCTTTCCTTCCTTTCTTTTCTTGCCTTCCTTGCCTTCCTTCCCTTCCTTCCTCCCTCCCTCCCTCCCTCTTTCTCTCTTTCTTTCTTTCCCTTTCTTTTCTTTCTTTCTCCTTTCCTTTCCTTTCCTTTCCTTTCCTTTCCTTTCCTTTCCTTTCCTTTCCTTCCCTTTCCTTCTTTCTTTCTTTCTCTCTTTCTTTGTTCTCCTCCTCCTCCTCCTGTCTGTCTCTCTCTCTCTCACACACACACACACACGCACACACACCCACAGATACACGCACAGCTTCAAACATGCTTCCTATCCCCTCTTTTTTTCTAACCTCTTCCCTAAAGGTGTAAGGGAGTATAATGAAGATGTTGACTGGCTAATTTCAAAGGTGAAAGGTTACATTTCCAACATTTATTTCTCTCTTGGCACTTTTTGTATAGTTAGGCTATCGGGATACACTGTTACTACTACTGCAATCTTCAGATATCCCAATATCCCATGGATGTTGTTAACTGAGAAAAAGACATGCTTTCATTCAGTTATGTTTGGCTAATTAAATTATTTTTGATAGTAATATCAAAAAGATATAAGCTTAGATATAAAACATGATTAAAATATTTTATAAATGGAAGATGCAAAAATTAGGGTAAGAATTAAAGAAATGAATTTGGATGCCCTATTTATTTATCAATCTGACAATTACCAATTACCAACACACGACACTGTTCATTCTTCTGTATTAAGAGAGAAATGCCTTATTCCAAGTATTCTGCTAGAGCCCTGCCTTCCGAGGGAGGAAGCACAGGCCAGCTCTGCACAGACTGTCAGCTGGTGTGGGAAGTCCTTGTGAGCCTCCTTCCCCAGTCTTTGATCTCCTCTGATCTCCTCTCTTCTGTGTTCAAGCTCATCTAAAGGCTCCGTTTGCTCTCAGATTTCTTGCTTTCATGTTCTGCTTCATCTCAGGTTTTGGGAATAGAAGAGAGAATTTTTATACCCTGACATGTTACCATTGATTTTATTCAATTCTGTAATTACCTGCCTTTCTTTTATTAGGGATTTTCTCTACTTGACCACCTTGAGCTTAATTTTTATTTTTTTTAAGCTGGCTTCTCCCTTCCCTCCTCCTATCTATCTTGTATCTGCACCTATATGGGTCAGAACCTTTAGTAATCAGCTCTTACTAATAAGACTAGATAGAAATTCTTCTGTGCAGAGCTTATGGTGATTTTTTAAAGTTTTCCCTATTGCAAAGCAAAGTTTAAAATGGAACAATTTAAGTAGAGCATATAAAAATCTCAAACAGAAGTATAAAGATATTTCTTCATAAAATTAAAAGAAAATATTTCTATTGAAGAAAGAAATAGAAAACCCTCTGGTCTGATGTTTTCCATATGTCCCTAAAACCACAGTGAGAAGCTCCCTATCACTGTGGGAATTATATGCCCGGTAGATAGAATATTGAGCTCTTTATTTGTATTCATTAGTTGATCCGTTTGAAACTCCTTAAGCTGAGACCACCATCAAGCTTTTTCATTCAGGAGCCTCTGTGTTCATGGACTCACCAGCAGGTGTTTGTGTACCAGATATCCCAGATACCTTTGTTGCTAATTTTTTTATATAACTGGAAAATTACAAAATTTTATAATTGTTTCTATTAATTATATAATAATTTTTAATTATATTGTAGGATCAGAAGGAAAGTATAAGATTCTGAAATTTTACATTTCAGGGTGTGTAGAAGAAAAAAATAAAATAAAATTTCAAAGAAAAATGAAATAAAATTTCACAGTTTTACTAGAGATCATTTAATTCTGAAAACTATGGATTAAAAATTAGTATGCTAGTATTTATTACTTTACAACCAGAAAAAAACCTGCTTTTTTGGGGGTTTTATAGAGAAATCCAGAAAATACTAGGCTTGAGAGGAACAGGAAATACTGTCAGTCGTCCTAGATCCTAGATCTGAGTAGCTTCCTGGCTCCTGCCCTTTCCGGGCTCCAGTCTTGTCCATCAGCACACCAAGGAGAATGTGACCAGCCCTCTGTGTGCCACCCACAGCTAATATGAGTCATAAGGGGAGTAGGTAATATAACAGCTGTTAGTCCTTTATGTAGACTGGCATTCTTCAACAATAGAATGCTTATTCGTGATATTTAGATGAGGGGGACTTGATGGGCAAATAAGTCTGAAAAATGTCGGTAATTTCCATTTAGATTTGGAATGTAGGGTTAATAGATGTGTTTACCAAATTTACTTGCTCAAGTCTAAGTCACACTGATTTTCAAGTGGGTTTATGTTTCCTGAGCTTACACCAGTGGTCGTGTAAGAGGCATACTGGTGGCTGAGGAAAAGTAGGCCGAGAGTGAATATTAGTAATGCCTGGTCAACATAGAAGGAGACAAAGGGTGGCTGATTTCTGATTTTTATCTGAGATGGAATGGACAGAGACAGAAAGGAGTAATTCTTCACTTGACAAAAGAAAAGCTCAGAAGGGTGATCTCCATAAATTGGAATTGGAGTATCTATGAACCAGTGATAACTTCCAGGGCTCTGCTTCTTCTAGATTCCTTCAGAGTTCTTGAGCTTCCTAAAAAGTACAAGGAGGAGCCAGGTGCCATGGCTCATGCCTGTAATCCCAGCACTTTGGGAGGCCAAGGTGGGCAGATTGCTTGAGCCCAGTAGTTTGAGACCAGCCTGGGCAACACAGTGAGACCTCGTCTTTACAAAAAAATGCACAAAATTAGCTAGGTGTGGTGGTGGGCCCCTGTAGTCCCAGTTACTCAGGAGGCTGAGATGGAAGGACCGCTTGAGCCTGGGAGGTGGAGGCTGCAGTGAGCTATCCTCACGCCACTGCACTGCAGCCTAGGCAACAGGGTGAGACTCTGTCTCAAAAAAAAAAAAAAGAAAATGTAGAAGGAAGGTGTGTATGCCTTCTCCATTGTCTTGGATTCCATACACCTGCTGGGACAGGGGCCTCACGACTTTGTCTTTCTCAGGCATGCACCCTAGCTCGGCGGAATGCTGAGGTGTTTCTCAAGTACATCCACAGGAACAACGTCAGCATGCCCAGTGTCGCCAGCCACACTCGGGGACCCGAGCAACAAGTGAAAGGTCAGTGAGAGACCTGCCCAGCCACCAGTCACTTCAGCGAATGCCCCTCCCTGAAATATACCATGTACCCAGTTTTCACACAGTCTCAAATTTCCTGCTGCTTCTCCTTGGAAATGAAAATGTATGATGTGGGATGGTGTGGGCAGTAATGATTCATGGTTAATTTTTAAACATGCTTCAAGATCTGGAAGGCAAAAACAAGGATAAAATTTCCCCAAGTATTTTCATTTATCTTAGAGTCTGGACAGCACTGCCTAGTGGAATTTTCTGAAATAATGGAAATTGCCTGTATCTACGCTGTGTAATACAGCAGCTATTGAGCGGTTGAAATGTGCCTAGTGCAACTGAGGAACTAAATTTTAACTTTTGTTTAATATTAAGTAATTTAAATGTAGATTACTGTATGTGGCTCCTAGTTAATATATTGAACAGAACAAGACTAGGGTGTCTTACAGCCTAGGAACAGAATGTGGACTGAGAATCCTAAGACCAAATGCTGACCCTGGATTTGTCACTGATTGATTAAGCCTTTTAAAACTTTAGTTTCTTATTTAAAATGAGGGGAGCATCTAGACTCTTGCTACTCAAATTGTAGTTCCCAGACCAGCCACATTGACATCCCTGGGGGAGAGTGTAAGAAATATACAATCTCAGGCCACACCCAAACCGACTGAGTCAGAAACTGCATTTTGGCACTTTGGGAGGTTGAGATGGGAGGATTGCTTGAGGCCAGGAGTTCAAGACCATCCTGGGCAACATAGTGAGACCCCGTCTCTACGAAAAGTTAAAAAATTTGCCTGGTATGGTGGCATGCCTATAGCTGTAGTTACTCAGGAGGCTGAGATGAAAGGATCGTTTGAGCCCAGGAGCTGGAGGCTGCAGTGAACCACATTTGCACCGTTGTACTCCAGCCTGGGCAATTAGAGTGAGACGCTGTCTCAAATAAAAAAGAAAAAAAAAGAGAAAAAAAGCACAAAGAACCTGCATGTTGGCAAGAACTGCCCAATTCTACCAACCAGGTGATTTATGTGTTCATAAAATTTAGGTAAGTGCTATTCTACATCATCTTTAATATCTCTCTGAATTCTAGAAAGTCTATGATAATAAATACATAACTTTTTAAAATTACCTATTATCTGACCATGTGAAACTTAAATCATTATCTGTGGAATTATTCTGACCATGCAGAAATTAGCCTTTGAGTGAGTGAAGAGTTTAACAAATGTCATCTTGCCAAGGCACAGAAATATAACTCTGGAGCCCGAGGCTAGGGAGGGAACCCAAGCTGACTTGGAGTGAGGAGTGATATGGGCTTGGAGACACCATGGACAGGGTAGGATGCGTGGTCGGCTTAAGAAAGACTTCCCTCTTTGCTCAGATTGCTCAAGAGTTGGAGAGAACAGAGGCCACTGGACAGAATTAAATCTAGGAATCAAAGTTCCCTACAGAGAGGAGGGAGCAGAGTTTCTCTTCCAAATGTGCTAATCTATTTGTGGTCAGGGGACCTGTGGGGAGCTGGTATTATGTCACTTCTTCTGGCACATTTGAAAGCATCTGTTCTGGCTTCCAAATGTAGATGGGAGATTGGGTGAGGCCAGCTGCCTACTGAGAGACCACATATCCCACCTACACCTCTGCGTGCTGAAGAGTAACAGGCACCCAGAGACAGTGAGAAATGCCTACATCTTCTTGGAGGCAAGACCAGGTTGTTGCCCATGTGAAAGCTTTCAAGAAGAGGGGGGAAAATAATCCTGAAACACTTTATGATTTCTGCCTGATCTGGGTTGATTCTCTTAGCCACACCGTAGAGGGAGCTTCAGTGAGCAAAACTCTGGCTAGGGAACAAAGACTAAAAGAAATGGGTTTCTACTTCTTCCTTCCCCAATTGAAACTTCCACCTGAGGGACCTACAATCCCTTATATATCAGTTTCCTTTTCACTTACTACCTAGACTCAACACCAGTGCCACATAGTTTTGGCTTTTTTATGCTGCTGGTTGTTATATGGCTGCATAACAAACAAAAAATTCAATGATATCCACTGTAAGCATATGTTGTTCAAGTGGCTATGCATTGGCTGGGGAGCAGCATCTCAGCTGGGCTCAGCAGTGTGGTTGTGCTTCAGACTGCAAGTCTGGCTAGCTTGGCTCCTTCACTCCAGGTAAGGTCTTGTTTGCTCCACGTGTATTCATTCTGGGACCTGGGTTGAAGGGGCAGCAGTTACCCAGGAGAAGTTCCTATAGTGGTGATAGCAGAGGTACAAGGAGCAAAGTCAAGTCTACAAGTACGTTTCAAAGCCCTGCTTCTGTTTTATCTGTTAACAACTCATTTGCCAGAGCAAGTTATGTGGCCAAGCTATGTGACCAACATCAGTTGGGGAGTGAGAAACTGTACTTGCCTCTTTGGGAAGGAATGAAAGTTACATGATAAAGGCTTAGGTACAGGGAAGGGTGAATAATTGGACCCATAAAAGGTTGGGCACACTGGCTCACACCTGTAATCCTAGCACTTTGGGAGACCGAGACAGAGGCAGGAGGATCACTTGAGCTCAAGAGTTTGAGACCAGCCTGGGCAACATAGTGAGACCCTGGTCTCTACAAAAAAAAAAAAAGTTTACAAATTGGCTGGATGTGGTGGCATGTGCCTATAGTCTCAGCTACTCAGGTGGCTGAGGTGGGAGGATCACTTGAGCCCGGGAGGTTGACGCTGCAGTGAGCTATGACTGCACTCCATCTTGGGTGACAGAGCCAGACCCTGTCTCAAAAAAAAAAAAAAAGCACTTAGCCTAAAAGATGAAAAAAACATCCTATCCTCAGAAAGCTATACTTGGCTGGGGAGGTGAGAATGAAGGGGTATGAAAAGTACATAAAATCAACAAAAACTTCTCAGTGCAAGCACTATACTTCAGGCTGTGCCATCTTCAAAAAGCACAGAAACTTGTACTTTATAGTCCCAGTAATGTGAGAGACCAAGGTGACTAACAACTCAGGCTCTGAAGTCAGATCTGGCCTGAATCTGAACTCTGCCCTTTCCTATCTGAACAACCCTGAGCTAGTTATCCTCCCTACGCTTTCTCAAAAGCTTTCTCTAAACCTCAGTTTTCTCATCTGTATAATGGAGATAATAATGGTGCATGCATTGTGGGGTATTATGAAAATGAGTGTCTTCCACATACTGAGTATGTGATAAATATTATTCACATGGTTATTATTATATATTTTGTTAATATCTAATATGGCAACAGGAAGCAGGAGGAAGACATAAAATAAATTTTATTGCTTCCAGCATAACATACTATTTAAAACACTTAAGACATCTATCCACGTACCCAGCTACTCCTGAAACAACAGAAAACTTAGGGAAATAGCATGGACTGAATACCTAACCATGGCCCACTTGCTGTGCTATATGCCTTGTGTAGACACTCTCATTTAACATCACTTTTAGCTTTTCCTATGATCACATCCAAAACAACATGGGCCCAGAGACAACATGAAGACATAATTCCAACACAGCTTCCCTGTGCCCACTATTTAGAAGTGTTTAAATCGAGGCTATGCCGTTAAAGTGCTGTGTGCACAACCTCTTGTGCAGGTCCAAGAACATGGTTCATGATGTGGGTTGTCAAGCCAGTGACACCAGCCCTCATTGCACTATAAATCTCCTGCCTCTCTTCTAATGAGTCCTTAAGAATGACTGAGATTCCTGTCAAGGTCCACCCATGCTCATTGGACTCTTGGGGCCAATTGAATTAGTTGCTTCCTAAGATTTCTTAGAACCAAGGACTAATTTTGCTATAAAGAGAATCGGGGTCATTTGTAAGTCACTGGTGTTATATTCTTGCCACCTTAGTTGATGGAACTCTCATCAATGGGCTCTCCCCCTAGACTCCTCGACCTTGCTCCTTTCTAGGAAATCCTTTCTGTATCCAGCTTTTGCTCCCTTTCTTCTGATGCTGGATTAGTCTCGCGGGGATGCTTGAAATTACAGTCATGGTCACCTGGCACCTGCCATGGGGCTGAAGGGGTTGGTTGGATTGTGCCCATCATATGTATCTCCTCTGCCCACAGCCATCCTGAGTGAGCTCCTGCAGAGGGAGAATCGCGTGCTGCATTTCTGGACCTTGAAGAAGCGGCGGTTAGACCAGTGCCAGCAATATGTGGTGTTCGAGCGCAGCGCTAAGCAGGTTGTCCAAAGCTTTCCCTGGCTCTATCTCAGTTCTGGGGAGCATACAGAGACCCAATACCAAGGGTTAGTCCAGAAGAGGGCCACAGCAGCAAATTGGGGATGGGAGTGGGAAATAAAGAGGAAAGAAAGCAGGGTGTCACTTGTCAGCAATTCAGCATTTACCAAGCTCTCTGTTTTGAGTTTGGTAACAGGAGATATGAGGAAATGCTAGGTCACCCACTGTGCCCCTAATTCATGGATGATATTGGGCCTGGCCTAGAAGAGTCCCCGGTCTACTGGGGGAGACCCTCTCTTTGCTGGTAAGTGTTCCAAATCAGGGGAGGGCTCATTCATAAAAAACAACTCAAGAGCTACATACCAATCAAATTGTGTCAGTGTTTCCTGGGTCCATTAAGTTGTCCCAACAATAACCTTCGTTGTAATATGGCATATCTTCTACTGACAGCTGCCTTTTGGGGGACTGGATGGGTTGTTTCCTCCCATAGGCGCTTGACTGGATCCAAGAAACAGGTGAATTTTACCTCTCAACACATACCTCCACTGGAGAGACCACAGAGGAGACTCAGGAACTGCTGAAAGAATATGGGGAATTCAGGGTGCCTGCCAAGGTAGGAAACATCCCAGACCCTTCCCCAAATCCACCCAGAACTCTCCATTCTGGCCAATTTCACATTATGGAAGCAAAGACAGCTTCTGTAAGCAAAAATACTTGGCTGCAGTGGCAAGGGGGAAAGTATGTAAATGTCCTAAAGGATTGTCTCTAGAAACCTGAATACCCAAAGAATTGCAGCTGCTGGGTAGAGCAGCTGTATGCAGGAAGTCAACTGCTATATACTGTGCTTCCAGATACTCATCTTCATGCTCCAGGTTCTGGAATCTGCTATATTCTTTCAGACCAAATCAGGGAAAAGGGTGTATTCATGTAAAAATGTTGCCTGTGCATGTGAACACTGCACATATCCACATATTCTTGCAATTTGAGTGGCTTGGGAAGTTCACCTTATTAGAAGGGCCAGTGACTATATGGGTACACAAAACAGGTGAATTTCTCCTTTTCTGAGCTATTTCCATCTGGCCTCAAACCTGCTCATGAGCTAGGCTGGGTCTCTGGGGAGCAAAATGTGCAAGGATGTACATACCAATTCATACCAAGATTGTGGGGAATGCCATAATAGAAGGAAACCTGATTTTCATCTGTTTTCACAGCCAGGATTTGATCTGAGGATACTTGGGTTTGAATGAAAATCTGATCTGTCTCAAGTTCCTCTTTGTAGTGTCCTCATCTCTCACACGGGGCTCCTTGCCACATAGGAGCCATTTTTGGCATCACTTCCACACATAGCAGACACTCTTCCCAGGTTGAGAGATGCTCTTGTTGGGGTCAAGGTGGGAAACATCCTATCCAGAGATCCCTCTGACACTATAAGGAATGTTCCTCTGGTTTGGTGTGACAAAATTAGGCCCTTAGCCTCATTCCTGAGCTGATATTTCAGAAGTGGTTATCCACTCTATGAATCTTTTCCTATGATCTCTCAACTTTGGGGAGCATCTCCCTGCATCCTTGTGAGCTTTGGGCCTTTTTGCCTAATGCGAAAAGCTGTGAGCACAGATAAGAGACTCATTTCAGCAAAAGCAAACAGCACAAAGAAGGTGGCAGATGCACAGACCCCTGTTCAAATCCAAATTAAAATGGCTTGTGAATTAACAAGTTTGGCTCTATCCACCCTTCTCCAAATAGGGTCGATAATGAGCCATTAACAGGATGAATAGTATGAGATCCATTGGTGTTCCTATCTGCATAGGGTGGATCACAGCAGATACCCAGAACTTCATAGGATCAAAATCTTTCCATAATCAAAGTGGAAATGTGAAGAATTATTCGGTCAATCTTATTCATCCTACCTTTGTAACCGTCTTCACATATTTCTCCTCTTTTTCATTCACATAGCTACTACCCTAAGCTGTAGTAGCTTCCTAAAGGGATTGCATGCCTTTGGCCTTTCCTTCTTTCCTTCCAATCTACCCTGCCCTTCATTGCTGTTCATCTTTAAAATGCTACTTTGGTCACATAACCACCCAGATCAAGAACTTTATGATTTTCCAATGCCTTTAGGATAATGCTCCACAACTCTACAGCTGTGCCACCCTACCTCCCCGGCTTTATCTTCAATTATTATTTTATGCAGAGTTTATGCTTCAGCGGAATGGATGTATTCTCTTACCCTCTGAGAGATACATCTTATACTTTTTTGTCTATGTGCCTTTTTCATACATTTCTCTGCCTGTAATACCCTTCCCTTCCCTCTAGTTTTTGCTTTTTAAGAGGAACCCCCCCCCCCGCCCTTTCCACTCTAGAGCCGCCTCCTCTATGATCCTTCCCACATACCAGGATATGATCCAGTTCATCCCTGCACTACAGCCCTTGTCTGTATAACCCTTCACCTGGGCCGGGCATGGTGGCTCACGCCTGTAATCCCAGCACTTTGGGAGGCCAAGGCGGGTGGATCATGAGGTCAGGAGATCAAGACCATCCTGGCTAACACAGAAACCCCATCTCTACTAAAAATACAAAAAATTAGCTGGGTGTGGTGACGGGCGCCTGTAGTCCCAGCTACTCGGGAGGCTGAGGCAGGAGAATGGCGTGAACCCTGGAGGCAGATCTTGTAGTTAGTCGAGATCAGGCCACTGCACTCCAGCCTGGGCGACAGAGTTGGAGTGCAGTGTTTTGGACTCCGTCTCAAACAAACAAACAAGCCCTTCACCTGGCACAGACCATCTGGAGAGATGGTAATCTATGTAATCTATCCAGTAATCTATGCAATGTTATTTCCTATATAAGCCAACAGGATACTTAGAGACGAGAACCACACTATTCATCCTGAGTTCCGTAGGTTACCTGACTACATTTTACACATTCAAAGGGGGCTACAACCATTCAGGAACATAAGGAAAAAAGGAAGTTTGAGTAGATTCAGCCCTTCTTGTTTATATTTAATATGAATCTTCTACTTTGGCTGTCTTTGTTCTCTGTCCCTCCCGATATAACTATCATGTTCCAAATCTCAGGGTTATTCATATTAGAATATCTACAGGATAACAAACCCAGCTGAGGAGCTTCTGATTAGAGGCAGCAGCCTCCTGCCCCACCCTAGTCCCACTTTCCAGAGGTAAACCTCTTCTAATCAGCTGTCTTTGATTATAATCTTTATAACCAATAAAATGAATTTGAAATGGAAACCAAATTGACCTTTAGCCACAAGAGAATACATACGGTGGCCCTTATGGTTGAATAGGGCAGCGGAGTACATTAAATTTAATAATATTCTGGTCCAAAGGAGCAGACCAAGTAGAAGAAACATTGGATATAGAAAGATACTTTCTATGTAAAAGCTCACAAATGTAAGAATAGAAATGAAATAAAAAGAGTTTGAATGAGGAAAAAAGGAAAACATAATTCTCATGGTGTGTTATGCCTATAGATAGTCCATTAAAAGAATAGAAATGGTATTTTTCCATTATGGGTTTCAAAATGTATAAGGAGTCAGGGCACACAGTGATTGGAAAGCTTAGTCATGACATTTGGAAGAACTCCATTTCTTCTAAAAGCAAAACTTTTTAAAGATGATTTTGTTTTTCATTTTTTACAAATTCCATGGTTTTTACTGTATTCACAAGGTTGTGCAAACATTGCCACTGTTTAGTTCCAGAACGTTTTCATTACCCTAGAAAGAAACCCTATGCCCATTAGCAGTCACTCTGCATTCCTTACTCTCCTTAACCCGTGGCAACTACTCATCTGCTTTCAGTCTCTATGGGTTTGCCTGTTTGGGCATTTCATATAAATGGAATCGTATAATATGAGATCTTCTGTGACTGGCTTACTTCCCCTACCCTAATGCTTTCAGGATTCATCCATGCTATTAGTATGTATCAATCCTTTTTTCCTATTTATTGCTAAATAGCATGCCATTTCATTGATATACCACTTTTTGTTTACTATTCATCAGTTGATGGACATTTGGGTTGTTTCCAGCTTTTGGCTGTTATGAATAATGCTGCTAGAAACCTTTATATTCAAGTTTTGGTGTGAACGTATGTTTCAGTTCCCTTATGTGCATACCTGGGAGTGGAATGGCTGGGTTATATGGAGTTCTACTATGTTTAACTTTTTGAGGAACTGCTAAACTGTTTTTCAGAGTAGCTATACCATTTTATACTCTCACCAGCAATTTGTGAGGGTTCTGATTTCTCCACATCCTCATCAACACTTGTTATTGTGTCTTTTTATATAGCCATCCTAGAGGGTGTGGAGTGGTATTCATTGTGGGTTTTGATTTGCATTTGCCAATGGCTAATAATGTTAAGAAAATACTTTTTTAAGCTGATAATTTCATCTCTGAAAATGAAGGAATCCATGAGATAAACTGGACTTAATTCATCTTGACAAAAGAAAATTAAGCAGTAATGAAAGCAACTGGAGCCTTAGCTGAACTAAATTATGTTTTCCTGAGATTCAGATAGCAAAGAAAGAGAACACTGGGGTTGTCAGATGGTACTTTAGACTGAGAGAGGTAGAGTCTAAACAGTTCAGATAAAAGATAGGCATGATTCTATTTCTGAGACTCTTTTTTTTTTTTTTTAGATGGAGTTTCACTTTAGTCACCCAGGCTGGAGTACAGTGATGTGATCTCAGCTCACTGCAACCTCCACCTCCTGGGTTCAAGTGATTCTCCTGCCTCAGCATCCCAAGTAGCTGAGATTACAGGTGCTTGCTACCAGGTCTGGCTAACTTTTGTATTTTCAGTAGAGACAGGGTTTCACCATGTTGGCCAGGCTGGTCTTGAACTCCTGACCTCAGGTGATTCACCTGCCTTTGCCTCCCAAAGTGCTGGGATTACAGACGTGAACCATTGTGCCTGGTCTTTCTGAGACTCTCAAGTGGAATATAGTTCACATGTGATGGAAAGTTTTGAAAATTTTGGTTCTTTTATGTATACTAACAACCCTCTGCTGAATGAATCCGAAGATGTATTTCAAGAAAACTATTCACCTGCACAAGGAGCTCAGTAAATTTGTGTCTACAAAAAAATTGATAAGGAATATCAATATTCCTTATTATTATCTAATTATAAGGAATATCAATAATGAAAGGCAAATATGGAAGATTATGAGATTATAAGATTACTATCAAGAAGGCAAAATCTTAAAGTCTTGTAAAATGTGCTGAAGTCAAAAGGGCTTTAAAAAAATTTATTCAGAGTGAGGCTCACTGATTAGAGGAAGACGATAACCAAAGAAAAAAAGAAAGGAAAGGAGGAAAAGAGAGAGTGGGGAGGGAGAGAGAAAAAAAAATAGAATTACTGAACCCCTCTTTTGAACCCCTGTCTTTTCCAGCAGGTAACTAGAATTCAAAGTGGAAAGGCAAAACATGAATTAGGTGACACATGAAGCCCAAGTGAGCTCTCAGGTCTAGATTTCCAGGCCCAGATGAATTATGGTACCCAAAGTTTCCCTTTTAGCCACAAGATCATGTCCATACTTCCGAACCTTTCATTCAAGAACTGCTGCGGTCTGACCCCCATTTTATTAGTTTATATAAGTTACTGTCTTTGGAGGAAAGATTTGAGTTTCAAATGGGCATAGGTTGAACGAGAAAGATACTGTATGGCCGTGTGTGGAAATAACGAAGATAGAAGCGATGTGTCTGAACCTCCCAGAAATCCAGAAAAAGCTCAGTGACTCAGCCCCATGGGAAGAACAAGAAATGTGGCGCAGTGTCACCTCTGGAGATGAAAACTGGAATGTTACCCGAGACCAAGGGTGTCTCAAGCAGCCACATCATCTGGTCATCGTCTGAGAGCAGAGGACCAGAATCTGTGTAATGTTCTACCATTTCTATACCACAGCTTCCTTTTTCTTCTTCCTCTCTGCTTTCTGTGATTTCACTTCTACTCTGCAGCCAATCATCCAGATCCCTGTCTGTGCAGTTTAAATCCTCAGGGAAACAACCTCAATTGACACGGCATATTTCCAGTCCCCTATTTAGACACAGCTTTTAGGCCAGGACACCTCAGAAGTCACTAGCTGACTCTTGATTGGCTGCCCTCATAAGAAAAGTTTTTACCTCTGATCTCAAAAGCTGTGACCAGGCATTTAGCAGGTCATGTGGTGCCACCACAATCACCAATGTATAAGAAACCATTTCAGAATACTCCCAGTGGGGACTGTGGCCATGGTTGGTATCTTAGTGCACTTATCCAATTCATGGGCCAAATTTATCATCTACTTCCTCTCAATAAAAATCTTCAACTCCTGTTGGTCTAGCTTTACTCACCTCCAAACACAAGATTTGCTCATTCATTCATTCAGTCAACATTGATGGTATGCCTACTATTTTCTAGACACTGGAGATATACAAATGAAAGAGATGTAATACTTACCTTTTAGGGTTCATGGTCTAATGAAGGAGATACATATGCTAATTACATGTGATATATGCTAAAATACAAGCATGTATGTGATACTGTGGGAACACTGGGAAGGGCATTGCCCACTTGTTTTTTGGGGAGGACAGGAGAGGAAAAAGGGCATTGCATCGAGAGTGGGGGTGAGTAAGAATCACTTGTCCCAGCAGGAAGGGCATGCGACATTCAACATGGCTGCAGTGTAGGGAATGGAGAGCAGTGGAAACAGGGCTGCTGCGAAGGTAGGTGGAGCCACATGGGGAAGGGCGTGTCTACACTTCCCTCCACCTACTTCCTAAGGATGCATCTAAAGTCATTTTACTGTCTTTTTGCTCCTCTAGTCCCCACACATACCTAGAATACTCTTGGTCACAAACCATTTGCTTTGCTGACTCTGAATCACAGTTTTGATGCTTTAGGATATAATTTTCTCTGATAGAGCTGCCCTAGTATGGCTACTGCCACCAGCTGGCTGTAAAACCCTTTCTCGTAGGTGTAGTCACTTTACCAAGAGCAGAGAATATGTATTTCCAAGACTTTTCCATTTAAAAAAAAAAAAAAGGGTCTCTGTTTTAAGTAAATAGAAAACCAAAGAAAACTCTTTTCAGGAAAAATAAAAATAAAAAATACCCTACATGAAATAAGGTGAAAGTCCTCAGGATGCTTAGACACTGGAGATATATAAATGAATAAGATAATTAAAAAGAGGGATTCAGTAATTCTAGTTTAGATAGAATCAAGTAGATTCTATTTTGAATAGAATCTGCTAATTCTATCTTAACCAATTCCCCCCGTTATTGCTCTGCCTTTTCATGGCTGAGGAGATGTTTCTGCTATCCTCACACCCACCTCCTTTCCTTCACACCAAAGCTCTTGCCCTTTATCTTCCAATACCAGCACCAGCCTACTGTCCCGAGATAGGAGAGGCTCCATGTGCTGAGTGAGCTACTGGAGAGCTGGATCCCTGGTCCTTGGTCCCTGGCCATGCGTGCAGCAGGCAGAGCACTCTCAATGCGCCTCTCTGACACCCTCTTTCTCCGGCATTTCTTGGGAGGGTTGGTCTCTCATGGGAGGGGCTGTAGATGGGCCTGGAAGGAACAGGAGGGGTGAGGATAGTAGAATAAAGAAAGAAGGGCTCTGTTGTTTTTTCTGCTGTTGCTCCAGTTCTGCCTCAGTTTCCCTGTTACCTAGATTGTAGCATGGTTTAAACCTTGGACCTACTTTCCTCCAGTCCAAAAGATAATTTTCCTTCTTAGAATACTATTTAAATGTTCTTTCCCTTCCCTGAGCAATTTTAGAGTTTGAAAATCCAAACTTAAGATTAAAAAAATGGGCAGCAGTCCACTTGTTGGGTGTCTCTCTCATTCCCATGACTTACCCAGCTTAAGTGCTGCCTCTCCATGAGACCTCCGCTACCCATGCCTGTCCACCTTCATTTTCCCCTTTTAAAATTCCTATAATATTAACTCTACATTCTCCCATTTTGACATTCAATTACATAATGCCCTGAGTTATTTAACTACTCTGTGTGAAATGAAGATTTTTTTTTCCTTTCGTTTGACCCCCAAGTCCGGCCCTATAGCTCTTTACACAGTACTATGGACCAAGTAGGTATTGAACAAACTCTTGCTAAAAATGAAATTAACCCAGTAAACACCTGAGTTCCACTTTACCTAATCCTGTAATAGATGATGGCTTCATTAACCTCTTTCTCCTGCTGTCTAATGGAAACTAAAGACAAGATTCTGGTGGTGACAGGGACAGAGTTAACTCTTAAATCTGCTCATTGTATTTATTTAGATCCTGGCATGTGCCAACTTACATGAGGTTTAGAGCTGGTACAGTAGAGGGGGGAACTAGGAACTAAAGGGCAGAGACAAATAGGCTCGTTTGCTTACTGCTAGTATGAAGTTGGACCAGCCCTAAGCCTCTCTAAGCCTCAGATTTTTTTCATCTGTGGTTCAAAGAGACCTGCATCACTTCCCTCCACCTGCTTCCTAAGGATGCATCTGAACTCAAATGGCTTTCAGATACAGTAACACACTGTGTAAATTAGTAAAGCATATTAATATAAGAGATTCTTACATCAATAATAATAATGGCTAATGTTTATTGCTTACTGAGTTCTTACTGTGTTCCACTGTACTAAGCATTCTACGTTTATCAACTCATTTAATACACCAACCCTCTGAAGTAGGATCAGCCCTCCATATCTACAGGTATCGCATCCATGGATTCAACCAGCTGTGAACTGAAAATGTTTTTTTCAAATGGATGGTTGTGTCTGCACTGAACATATATAGACTTTTTTGTTCTTGTCATCATTCCCTAAGCCATACAGAATAGCAACTATTTACTTAGTATTTACATTGTATTAGGTATTGTAAGTAATTTAGAGACGATTTGAAGTGTTCCTGAGGATGTGGCTAAGTTATAAGCAAAAACTACACCATGTTTTATGAGGAACTTGAGTATCTGGATTTTGGTATCCATGGGGGGCCCTGGAACCAGTTTCCCCCACCCCAGCACTGAGGGATGACTGTAATATTATGATTCCCTTTTTGCAAATGAAGAAACTGAGGCACAGAGGGCTTCAATAACTTGCTTAAGATCTCCCAGTTAGTAGTAACAAAGCTGGGATACATACCCAGGTAGTCAGCTATGAGGTATCTACGGCTGCTTTAAACAGGAAGAGAGGATTTGGGATGAAGGGACAGGAGAATAAATGTAATCCAGTAACTTAAGGCCATCTTTTGGGGCAGCAAACAAAGGAGAAGGTGAAGCTTCTGATTCAGCTGGCTGATAGCTTTGTGGAAAAAGGCCACATTCATGCCACGGAGATAAGGAAATGGGTGACCACGGTGGACAAGCACTACAGAGATTTCTCCCTGAGGATGGGGAAGTACCGGTACTCCCTGGAGAAAGCCCTAGGAGTCAACACAGAGGTAGGCAGGGGTATTGCCCTTTGGGACATCCTCCCTTCTCATTTCCCTGAGCACCACTGCCCTCATCACCATGGAAGAAAAGCATGTTTCCAGAGCAGTTCTTCTGAGCTGTTGACCCCTAGAGCACCTGCCTCGTGTGGCTTTTCTAGTGGGGAGTGCTGGGTGGATATTGCTGATCCTTTAACCTCCAGTCCCCTGTGATGAGTACTCTATACATTACGAAATCAACTGGACAGTAGTGGGACCTATGGCTACAGAACAGAGTTTTTCTCTGTATAGACTTTGAGAACGAAAAGCTTTATCTTAACTTCATAAGTACCATCTTCCACCCAATTATGTTAATCGTCAAATGATTAGAGTACCCAGTATATATAATAGTGCTCTTTCAAGAATAAGGGGTGCAATTTGTACAAGGATTATTTGACATTTCAACAGAACAGAGGTACAATTTGCCATGAACCAGGGAAGATGAACTTTTAATCTCTTCTTTATACTAGGAGTTAGTAACCTGTGAATTAAGAGCTTAATACAGCCTGGCAATTTAATCCTAGGATGTCTAATTCTTAAATCTTCAAATAGGCTCATGATCTGAAGCAGAGCAGCCTGGAGAGTGAAGTGGCCAAACCACCTAAAGTTGAGAGAGTTAATGTCTCCCCCAGGCTTTAATCTGTGAGTTTTTATCTAGGAAGTTCCATCATATATAAATACCAAATGGTGGTTAAAATTAGTAGGGATGAGCAATGAGAAAGTTCAGTTATTGTTCTGTTATTTAGCTTTCTGTTTCCAAGGGAAATTGCTTGTTTAAATAAATATATTTGGTTTGATTATTTTCTTTTGACAAATGAAAGATGTTTTATATCTTTATGTGTTTTTGTTTCACATCTATTTTAAATGGTTAAGAATCAGTCGTAGACCAATTTATGAATGTGTTTAGATTTAATTAGGACCAAAGGCCTTGGGGAAATAGACACATAATTATCAAATATGTTTATTGTTTTTTCTTACTGTGGATATTTACCCTAAACATTTGACCTGAACATTTTATTTCTCTCTTATTTGAAAACACAATAATGATCCCATGAAGAACAGTGCTTCTGGGTATGAGTCTGTAAGATCCCTCATGTTTTTATCCTTCTCCATTATAGCCTTTTTTCCCCCTTTTACCACCTCCCTCAACTCGATTGAGTTGCTTTCCCAAAGCATCACAAGCTGACCTTTGTGATCCCTCCATGTGCAGGATAATAAGGACCTGGAGCTGGATATTATCCCAGCAAGCCTTTCGGATCGGGAGGTCAAGCTGCGGGACGCCAACCACGAAGTCAATGAAGAGAAGCGGAAGTCAGCCCGGAAGAAAGAGTACGTGTTGGCTTCCGCCGCGCTAGCTGGCTCGCCATGACTGTGGTGGGCTTTCACCGCCACTTGTCCCTTTGGATAGCTTAATATGTCCTCGTGGCCACCTACAGGGATTGGGATGGACAGACATAACGTTTGCATTGAGAATATGAGTTCCCTCTGAAGGCTTTGAAGTCTCTCCCGTCTGTCCTTCACCTGAATTATCTTCATTTATCAGCAACTTCCTAGACAAAACCTTCCTCGTAGATCATCACATTGTACTTCACAATGTCAAAACTCAACATGGAACAAATCAAATATTTTTTTCATCTCCTCCAAATTTTATTCTCCTTTCTGATTTTCTTTTTTAAACATTTTTAATTTTTTTTTATTTTTTGGGACAGAGTCTCCCAGTGTCACCCAGGCTGGAATGCAGTGGCATGATCTCAGCTCACTGCAATCTCCGCCTCCTGGGTTCAAGCAATTCTCCTGCCTCAGCCTCCCAAGTAGCTGGAATTACAGGTGTGCACTACCATGCCTAGCTAATTTTTGTATTTTGAATAGAAACAGGGTTTCACCATGTTGGCCAGGCTGGTCTCAGACTCCCGACCTCAAGTGATCTGCCCACCTCAGCCACCCAAAGTGCTGGGATTATAGGCATGAGCCACCGTGCCCAGCCTCTCTTTTCTGATTTTCTAATTGCCGTCAATAGTGTCACTAATCTTCTAGTTTTTTCTAGATTATTTGCAAAAACTTCCCACAGTTTTCCTGCTGCTGGTCCCTGCCCAATTCACCTGCACAGCGATGCCAGGTTTACCTTTCTGGAGTACATTTTATTATTGCTAATACCAATACTCTCCTGCCACCAGCACCTATACTTTTTATGTCCTAAACATTACATAAAGTGCCTTTACACACATTTTCTCTTTGTATCTTTCTATCAGTTCTCTCAGGCAGCTAAGATTATTCCCATTTTACATATAATAAGACCTAGAAAAGTCAAGTAACTTTCCCCAAACCACACAGATGGTGAGCAATGAAGCCAGAATTTAATCTAGCTTTGACTCTTCAACATTCTTTGATTTCTTTCCATTATGTCTGTCACCAGCTTCAAATTGTAAATGGTTTGCTACAACCCCCAGAATAATGATAAAAATCCTCAAGGTACTATCCTTTGGTCTCATCTAAGTCAATTTTACTTCAAAATACTTTCTGGTTCAGATCACACCCTTCAGTCAGATCATTTTCACTGACTCCTCTCAGGTCTAAGAATAAATTGTATATAATTGAGAATGCTCTGCTAGCCGGGCGCAGTGGCTTACATCTGTAATCCTACCACTTTGGGAGGCCGAGGCAGTCGGATCACCTGAGGTCAGGAGTTTGAGACCGGCCTGGCCAACATGGTGAAACCCTGTCTCTACTAAAAATACAAAAATTAGCCGGACGTGGTAGCACACGCCTGTAATCCCAGCTACTTGGGAGGCTGAGGCAGGAGAATTGCTTGAGCCCGGGAGGCAGAGATTGCGCCACTGCACTCCAGCCTGGCGGACAGAGCAAAACTATGTCTCAAAAAAAAAAAAAAAGAGAGAGAGAGAGAGAATGCTCTCCTTTCTCTTTGTTATTTTCCCTTTCGTTTCCCTTCCTTTTTTTCCTGTTTGGTTTTATTTTGCTCTCTGTAAGTCTTATTGATTCTTTAAAATCCAGCTCATATCCTATGCCTCTATAAATCCTTTATCTACAACCCCCACTGTCATTGGCCCATCCTTTTATGAACTCCTTTACTTCTTTTCTGTACCAATTCCCATTTTACTTATTCAACCAATTCCTAAGCTAGATTGTATGCTCCGTGACAATAAGAAGTATTTTATACTCTCTTGTATGAATCAAGGGACTAGAGAATAATGAAGATAATGTAATTATTGATCAAGAAAAGCTTATAGTCAGGCAGGGCACAGTGGCTCATGCCTGTAACTTTGGGAGGCTGAGGTGGGCAGATCACCTGAAGCCAGGAGTTCGACACCAGCCTGGCCAACATGGCAGAAACCTGTCTTTGCTAAAAAAGAAAGTTAGCAGGGCGTGGTGGCAGGCCTCTGTAGTCCCAGCTACTCGGGAAGCTGAGGCAGGAGAACTTATTCAGATGAGAAGGAATCAGAAAAACAATTCTGGATGTATTAAAAAAAAAAAAAGTAATACAAAACTTAACCAGGCATGGTGGTGTGCACCTGTAATCCCAGCTACTTAGGAGGCTGAGACATGAGTATCCCTTGAACCCAGGAGGCAGAGGTTACCACAAGCCAAAATTGCTCCATTGCACTCCAGCCTGGGTGACAGAGCAAGACTCCATCTCAAAATAAAAAAGGAAGGAAAAAAAAATCTTATGGAACATAATTGGATATAGAAATTAAAACCTTGAGGGAAGGGCAGGACATTATTTAAAATCGCAAAACAAATAAGGACTGTAACGTCGATTTCTTTACTTGAAGTTCAGGGATACACCATTGGGCCAGAAGAAAATAAGGCATGCTTTAGGAGGCATTCCAGTATCAGATGGTCCCTGCCCTGACTTGATCTAGGTATTCAGATTTCAAAAGGAAGAAAAAGATGCTTGGAAATTGGTCCAGTGAGTGACCCGTAGATGTTAGAATGTAAAGCTGCCACCTAAGTTTACTCCTAGGTCAGCAATAGCCCATGAGGAGATGAGGCAGAGGAAAATAGGCAAGAAGAGAGTAGAGGATGCTGAGATTCCAACATTTTGGAAGAATCTGAAGTAGCTGAGGTTTTCATAAATTGAATTCTATTTTCTCAGAATAAGAATGAATAGGGACCAGAATTCATTTAGCAAGCTGGAACCAACTTATCACTAGATTCCTGCTTTGCTCCCTAAGTATCTCAGCACCACTTTCAGAAACGTCCTGACTCCAGGTAGGCAAAACACATTTTTCTTCTTTGGTTGTTTGGTAGGGAGTTGTCTACCAACATTTCACTCTAATCAAGAATTACAGGGCATTGGACAGGGTAAGCAATGAACCGTGCCCATCTCATAAACCATTTCTTGACACTAATTCCTTTATGCTGGGGTTACAAAGTGACACATATCCAGAGATTTCTGGAGGAGTTTATGAAGAATATTTTGACACTCTGTTTGGGAATTACTAGAAAAAAAATAGTATGTCCTAAAATTAAGAAGCCCTATGTAGTTTATTTTATCAAGATGACGTAGGACCACAGGTTCCTTGGAGCTGAAGAAACAAGCTGCTCTATGAAGTCAGAGCTTGTTCATATGGGGAGTGGATTTGTTTGTTAGGACTGCTGTAACCAAGTACCACAAGTTGGGTTGTTTGAAGAGCAGAACTGTATTGTCTCACGGCTCTGGGGGCTAGAAGCCTAAAATCAAGGTGTCAGCAGGGTTGATTCCTTCTGAGGGCAGTGAGGGGAGGGTCTGTTCCAGGCCTCTCTCCTTGATAGCTTGTAGATGGCTGTTTCCGTGCTCCTGTGACATAATCCCAGAATATATGCCTGTGTGAAAAATTCCTCATTTTATAAGGACATCAGTCGTTAGATCCAGGGACCACTCTACTCCACTACTACAGTGATACTGTTTCCAAATAAGACCAAAATCTGAGGTATTGGAGGTTAAGGCTTCAGCATATGAATTTCAGGGGGGTCATAATTCAGCCCATATCTGGGAGGGGGATGAGGGGACTACACCTGGCCAGATCTTCCTCCTTGGTTCCTTCTGTGACAACAAATAGGCAGAAGAGATTAAAGGATGGGTGGAAAATAAAACAAAATGGGGTGGTGATAGCAGAGCTAAATTGTGAAGAAAGACAGGTAAAACTGCAGGAAGCAGATGGGAATAAAAGAACAATTCTAGAAAACCTAAGGCAGTAAAATCAAAGGCAAGTTTTCAAAGCCTGTCAGTTTATTTTCCTTCTGATCTCCCTTCTGTCCTAATTTCATAGCAATCTACAGCTCATTTAATCATGGAATGTTTCCTGAGCACCTACCATGCACTCAGCATGTTGCTTACGTGATCTTGTTTAATACTTGCAGCAATTCTGTGTGATCAGCTATTTTATAAGTAAGGAGATGAGACCTGGAGAGGCAAGTCCTACCTCTGGTTGTAATTCAGTTCCTATCTGTCTGACTCCAAAGCTTATGCACTTTTTACTCTACCAATAGAGTTAAAATCAAAGAATAGAAAAATATAGAATATACCACAACGAGGCCATGTATCATAAGTTTAACAATTGCCTAAGCACGTTGTATTATTTAGAGGCCCAGGGAGGAGGAGAACCCTCTCTTTAAAGATACATAACACACACTTCTCTTTGTGGGGGACTGAGAAGCAATCATTTATTACTGATTTGTACTGTGCTTATGGTTGCATGTTCAGTTTTCTATACATCCGTTGATGCTGTAAACAAGTCCCATTGGAAATGTATTGAACAAATAGCTAAAAGGATAATCTAGATCAGAGGTCAGCAAACATAGACCAAATCTGACCTGCCAACTATTTGATATAGTCTATGAACTAAAAATTACCTTTTGTAGTTTTAAATAGTTGGAAGAATTATCAAAAGAAGAAGAATGTTTTATAACATGTGAAAATTAGATAAAATTCAACTTTTAGTGTCCATAAATGGTTTTATTGGAACACAGCCACACTTACTTTTTTTTTTTTTTAACACATTGTCTATGGCTCCTTTCACATGACAACAGCAAAGTTGAGTGGTTGTGACAGAGACCGAATTGTCCACAGAGATTTATTATCTGACTCTTTATAGAAAAATTGCTAACCCCTGATCTCGGTGTATTGGATATCTTTTCCGGACTTTGAAACCTGGTTTGTTATGGTACCAAGAACTGCTTTGGTATACATCTACAAACTCTACTGAACAGAAATCATTCTGGGAGCTGTAAGCGAAATGTGGAAAACTGAGATTCAAGCTATCTAGTTGGTGAGACAGAATATATGAACAGTCCTGCCTGCCTGTACTCACATGAATATCACCACAGAATCACAAGTATTAGTAGTAGGACTGGGGTGGAAAAGAGAAAGAATATAGACCTAGCTGAGCACAAACCTGCTAAAGGGATGCAGGGCCAATGGTCAGGAAGGATCACAAGTATCATAGGAAGATACCTGTAGGAAAGGGAAGGAATTTTGAAGAAAGGAAAAGACCTGTTGATGAAGTAGAAAAATAGGACATTTAAGAATGTCATACATGCCGGGGTGGGGAAGTGAAGTTTGAAGGAGGAGAGACATTATATCTATAACCAACTAAAAGCCCATTTGTTTCCTTCTAGATTTATTATGGCTGAACTACTCCAGACAGAGAAGGCTTATGTAAGGGATTTACATGAGTGCTTAGAGGTGAGTCTTCCAGTAGTCCGTTCACAGCTATATCGGAAAAATGACATCCTTGCCAGCATCAAGTCCTCAATTGGAATTTGGTGCTGTTGGTCTTCTCCCAGAGAGTAATGAATTAAAAAGCCAGCCAGAGGAAATCTTTCTCCTAAAGTCAACAATAATTGCAGAGAGTTTAAAGTACTTTTGAAAAGAAAGTTTAAACTTTTCTCAGACTGGAGCTAGACCCAGGAAAAAGAAGTGTATAAGGCACTTCAGTTCAAAATAAAACCATGACACAGTCAGTGAACTTAAATTGGGTCTGAAAATCTGCATCCTGACCCCCCATACTCAAATCTACACACATTTCATAAATAACAAGAGACTGTGGAGTTTGTGTTCTTGCTAAAGTTCAGGATAATGAAATATTCAGGTTTTATTTATTTCTCTTATGTTTACTTAACACATCACTTTTTTTGCTAAAGTTCAGGATAATGAAATATTCAGGTTTAATTTATTTCTCTTATGTTTACTTAACATACCACTTTTTAAACTCTACATGCATTTACAGTTTGAGTCTTGCCCCACAAGTTTGAGTGCCTGTTTATTTTGTCTGTATTTTATATGGCATGCCAGGCTTGCCAGTGATGAAACTGTTACTGTCTTACAGACCTACCTGTGGGAAATGACCAGTGGTGTGGAGGAGATCCCCCCTGGGATCCTCAATAAAGAGCATATCATCTTTGGCAACATCCAAGAGATCTACGATTTCCATAACAAGTAGGTTTTTGGAGGGTCTTAGAGGTGCACACTTAGGCCGTAAAAACCGGACAACAGGGTTCCCAAGAAGTGGATCAAAGGCAATTGGTGAATCTTACCTGGTCAGTTTTCTAAGGCAGTTGCTGTCAGACTTCTTTCTTACTCACTCCCCTTTCTCTGTAATTGTCGAAAAGTCCTAGTGGAGACTGAAGTCACGTATTCAGCTGTGCTCCTCCCCATCTCTCCTCAACATTCTCATTTATTGAGCCAGAATGAATACCAGGCTTTGAAGAAATAAAAGTAGCTTCTCCTCATTAAATCTTGTGGGAAATCCTGACATTAGAATTCATCTGCAGCTAACCATTCCACCCTGTGGTCTTTGGGTTTTGAATTCCATTGAAGTTTTCTGTCAATCTAAATATTTCCTCCATCCTCATTTTATCTCACATTTCTAGTTTAGAGGGAAGGACATCAACTGATACTCTGTTTTGTTGGAATAAGTAGAATCGTAGGGCCCTGAAATTTCACAAGTCATTGTTTCCAACTTGATTGAAGAATCTTTCCCACAAGATACAAAACAATATGCTCCATGGTTAACAGAGGATCAGCAAAAAAATTGGCATGATTAGTTACACAACCAACCAGTAGAAATAACTGTGTTTCCAAAATACAAATAGAGAGCATCTCAAGGCACAAAGAGGAACATTGGCATAAAGTCTTAGAGCTCTCAGGACCCTGCTGCAGAGCAGTGCTACGTCAGGCTAGGCGAGGCATTTACTGAGTTGTGTAGGCTTGCTGGAGATAGAGGGGCCATGTGTACAGGTGTAGCAGCCACCCTGAGGCAAGACTCCAGAACAGCACTGTCCCATGGAGCCTTCTGCAATGATGGAAATGTTCTATATCTGCAGTGTCCAATATGCAGATATGGTGGCTAATGAACACATGAAATGTGGCTAGTGCTACTAAGGAACTGAATTTTCAATTTTATTTAATTTTAATAGATTTAGATTTAAATAGACCACAAGTAGCAAGTGGCTGCCATATTCGATGTCTCAGCTCCAGAATAGCCCCGTGCTAAGAATAACCAAGAGGCAAGCAAGATTGGGTGTAAAATGATCCTGGGCTGTAATAGGTCCAGATAAGGGGGGGAGATCACACCTCTCTCATCACCTCCTGGTTATTAATTCCTGGTATGTCATCAGATGGGATCAGTTTAAAGGAACATAATGTATGTAGCTCCCATGACATGCAAACCTTGTCAGATTATTAAAGCAATAAGCTCTAGGGAGAAAAATAACCGTTTGACTTTCTGGAATATGTGATAAAAGTTCCCAGTCTTTTGTTTTTTAATCATAAATTTTAACACTATCCATTAGGTTTGTCTGGAAATTTCCAGATATAGGAATATCATGTCCTCATGCTTATCATTGATAAGATCCCAATAAAACTATTTGACCATTGATCCCAAATTCCATCATCTGAGCCCAGCTCAGTATCATCCCATCTCCCTCAGGATATCTGAGAAGACATTGGACTGGCAAACGGTAAGTCATGTTACCTTACTTTTCTGACTTATGGTCTCTGGGATTTAGTTAACAAGTCTCACTTTCCCCATGTTCTTAGCAAATTGACTAACTATGGAAGCCTAGAGATCACAGCACGCACTTCCTGGGAGCCCTACATTTGCCAATCATTTGATAAGGGGAATGAATATACATTTCAAAATTGACCACGTGTAACAAAATAGCTAACATAATCATGCCTCTCATTCTATCATGATATCACTGCTAAGCCATGGTAAACAGTTTTGTAGTTTTCTAAATAGCTGAAAATGTACCTACCAGTTACAAAATATAGTTCTAAGAAATCCTTTCAAAAAATCAAATTAAACCATAGAGAATCTGCATGCTGTAAATTGAGGAAGAAATCCAACTATCAAGAAAACAGCCACCCAGCACATATTATCGAGTTAGAACATTACGAAGAAAGAAAAAGAAAATAACAACGAGCCACTCAACAACCAGAAGAGATGTCACAAAAATTAAGTTCTTGTCTTTTCCTAGAAGCATCTTTCTATCCTCCCTAACAACCACTTTACCTCTTGATCATATTGTTTGTAAGCCCACAGCAATTTAGAAACAGCAAATAAGAATCAAGAACGTGAGTGAGTAGTGGGATACCAGCAGCTGTCTAAAGAAGACAAACTGCAAAAACAATAGGCAATAGACCCCCCCCCACAAAAAAAAAAAAACCTCATGATGGTCAAGGGCTACTCAGCATTGGTGCAAACCATTCTATATCCCACTATAGTGCCCAATACAGTCACTGTGTTACAGCATAGCATACTTAGCATTAGTGGTAACCCTGAGTCATGTATATGTTCTGCACTAAAGGCAAATAACTGTAGTGCATTTAGAAAGCTATTGACCAAAAATAAATTAATGGTTTAAATTATCCATAATTTAAGGAAACATCTAAGAAAATCAAGCTTCATATTAATTTCCTACAGGATCTGTGGGCTGTCTTTACTGTACTCATAATATATGCTTTCTACTTGTGTCATACAAATTTTGATTAATGAGGAAAACATAACACCTCTAAAATCTCTAATAAATAAGAGATAAAATGGCAGTTAGCCAACTTAGAAAATGCAGGAATTGTAAACTCTAAAGGACAGCTTAGAGGGGAGAACATCTTTCACTGCGTAATCAGGTACCTGGCACATAAGTAAACATTGAGTAAATATTTGTTTGGTAGGTGAATGCATGGATGAACAAATTAAAAATAAAATTAATATTTGCAGACTTGTGGCTAATACCATTCAAGTCATAATTTAATCTTTTGTTTGTAAAAGTCTCAAGACAGAGCAAACCATTAGGTATGAATTTTTACCCCATCACTACAAGCACCATCTGGAAGAGCAAAATAACTTAATTTCTACATGAAGGAGTTTCTTGGAAGCTTCTTACTGGGTGGACCATACAGTTGTCCTAATACTTATTTATCCTTCAGAAATACTTCTCTGAAGTTGTCACTTCTCAATATGAAAAAAACTCAAAGGGTGCTTTTTAACCCCAATTTTTTGTATTATCCCAAAGTTGCAATTAAGCACTGTCTAACAGAAACATGCACCTCTCATTTCTAGTGCATAGCTCAGGTTATCTGCCTGTAATTCGGAAAGAGCCTATGGAAGGGAGAGCAGGAGGAAAGGATATTGGGAGATTGAGAGATTGAGAGAGAAAGGGATTGAGATTGACACGACCTTGCTAACTTAATTAGCTAAGTCACTAGAAAATTAGCACCTAGAGCAAGGGTTATGTGGTGAATACATATCTTAGCTAGATAGTATTGATCTGTCTAAATGGTGTCACGTTGAAAAATTGCAACTGAATTAGTTCTCTCTCTTGCTGTGTGCCTGTGTGTGTGTGTGTGTGTGTGTGTGTGTGTGTGTGATCTGTCTCAAGGACCTTTGTCTTTATAGGTATTGAATGGGGAAATTCCCCAGCACCAAAACTTCTTTAAAGAACAATTTAATATGTAGAATTTAATACCTGCAAACAGTGGCTTTAACACAAACTAGAGATTGAAGTAGAATGATGCTTCGTTTTGCCCTCCACTCTCCCCATTTTGCACTACATCTCTTTCCTACAGAAATAACTATACAGATCATGAAATTTACTTATCTACACAAGACTTAGACCTATTTTGATTGCATTTTGTTAGCATTTCTGGAGCACTCAGACAGGAGAATATATTCCATTAGTAGATCCCCAGACAGTAATGATTTTGTTAATGCAGTCTTCCCATTTTGCTTAGCATACAACTTGTAATTCAAGAAAATAATTCGTTTTCAGCTTGCTGATTATTAGATTTCCAACTTTGGTGTGGACAGCTTTTTGTTTAAAATGCTCGTCACCTTCTGTTAAATCTGAACTTCCTTTTCAATTTTTTGGAGATACGGTCATATGTGAGTCAGAGCAACAACATTTTAATAAAATCTCTACTCCCAGGGCTCAGAGGGTCCTCTCAACCATCAAGTGCAACCCTCTCCATATACAGACAAAGAGGCCCAGAGGAGCCGTGTGTGCCCCTCCCCTTTCCTTAAAGGTCAGGTGTTAGATTCCAGGGCTTGGTCTCCCATTTCAGCACTCCCTCCCCTTCTCTCACTCCCTAGACCACCATTGGTGGCTGCCACATCTGGCTGGTTTAATTCATAGTTAACCAGCTTCCATGTGGATCTTAGAATTTGATGAATATTTCTACCCATTTCTCCCAGAGCTATGTCATTCTTGTGCCACACCCATACAACAATTACCTGAAATACATCAGTTTTCAGCAAGGTCTAGATTTTCAAATTAGGGACCAAGTACCAAGGCTGGATGCCCCTTCTGCACACTCCCTCCTGCTAGGATTGGCTGGAAGCTATTAGATTTGGCCTTGGCCACCAGCCACTACCCTTCCAGCCTGGTGTTCCCTTCCCTGCAGGAGCAGGACTAGAGATGTGTGAGGTTGAGCTGGGAGCACTGGCCAGGCCAGGGTCAGCCAGGAGCAGTGAGGGGTGAGCAGCAGGGGTAAAATCGAGGCTGGGGAATTTAGGGAGGGGTACCTCAATGAACAAGTGAACCACAGCCACATTTCGTTGATCTTCCCAGAGTTCCTCCTTTGGGCCAAAGGTGTGCTAGATTGAAGATGAAGCTGGTACTCTGTGATCAAACCCAGTATCTGCCCTCTGAGTTCTGAGAATGACATACCTGTCTGTGATAAGGGTGGAGGTGGGCACAAGTGGAGCACAAAGAAAATAGCCTCAGTTGGAGAGTAGGAAAGGCCTCATGGAGAAGGGGGCATTTGAGATATAATTTAAGAAAGGGGTGAGATTTTTACAGGCAGGGATGGCTTCCTTGATGATGGAATAAAGTTTGAACAACAGCCCTGCAAGGGCGAAAAGTGGTGAAGTCTAGCAGGGAGGTTGAGAGGCAATAGGGGGTTTGGGAGTGGGGCACCATCCTGAGTCATGGAAAGCAGAGAGAGGTCCCATTGTCACACTCTTAGGTAGGCTGGGTCTTATCACAGCCATGTCTGTAAGACTGAGGGAAGAGAAAGGAGAGGTGGTGGGCGGGGATAGTGTAAGTCAGAAATGTGGGGAGGGAAAAAAGGAAAGGAGGAGAGAGAGCTAGGTGGATAGAGCATAAGTGAGAAAACCGTGAAGTGGGCAGATAATAAGGAGAAAGGAAGAGATAGAGAAGGAAGGAAGCAGGAGAGCAGGAGGGAGGCAATGACAGGGGAGGGTGGATAGGTAGGTGGGGTAGGTAGTCAGGCAGGTAGGTAGGTAGGTAGACCCATCTAGGGAAAGAGGCTCTAGGGGAAGGGTAGGGGATGAGGAGAAGGAGAGCAAGGGAAAGAGATGGATAAAGACCTAGACCTTCCCAGAGCTACCATCCTGTTGCAGAAGAATGAGCAAGGTAGTGTTTTTCAAACCATTTTTTATCATGAACCAAAGAAAAATACTGTACATTATGCCCTGATATATGCATGCATATATGCTATATATAATGGGGAAGTTAAATTTTGAAAAACAATACCTGCATTATGTGTGATGCACTGTGGTATTTTGTGTTAGGTTCTATTTCTTCCTCCTCTTTTTTAAAATTCTCGTTGCCACCCGTAAATTGATTTTACAACCCCTTCAAACACAAGGGGTTTGATCTATGGCTGCACGGTGAGGCGCTAGCTCCACCAGGTGGTGAGAGAAGGTATGTGCCGTTCAGGCCACCAGGGAAAGGCCACCCTGCCAGGCTGCTGCTACCTTTTCCTCCCTCTTTGCCCCTCCTCCCCCTTCCCAACACACACACCCTTGCTTAAAATGTGCATGTTCTATGCTTTCTAAGCTTCTTCCCCCACTCCAAATGCCTTTGATATTAGTGGTTTCTCATTTATAGAAAATCATAGAATTATCAAATATAAAAGCCCGAAAGAAATCTTTAAAGATAATCTAGTTGTCCCTTGCTCTATAGAAACTGAAACTTACAAAGGTTTATGATCTGCCCAAACCAAAATTAGTGACAGAGGCAAAGAATCCAGCTGTCGTTTTCTTAATAGTCAAATGTCAAGGAAAGAGGAAGGGGAAGACCTGTTGTGCTTTTTCTTTGGTCCCCAAACGCATACTTGCAGAGGTAACTTGCAGAACCCATCAGAGAAGCCCTGTACAAATGTAGCTGTGGTCTTGTTACTGTGTTTGTTTGTGTTTTCAGTAAGCTGTCAACATTGGGGCTGCTTATAGACATTGGGGAATACCCAAAGCAAGACAAAGTCTAAAACACTTCGTTTGGATGTGTCAAAGTAATGTTGGTTTTAGTTTTACACACTAACTTCTTAGCATCCATGCCTGGTTGCTAAACACCACCTTAATGGACATGAGTAACATTAAGCATAAGATTAATCTTTTGTATTTTTTGTTAACATTAAACTTGGTATATATCTATGCAAATAACTTTATTCATCTGATCACACAGATTAGACAAAGTAAGAAGATACTGGCAAAAACGTATTCAACAGGTAGCCATGCAGCAAGGTAAATTTTGCTGCTTGTGGTTGGAGGCTGAGAGTGTGATGTGCTGAATGGGAGTCCAGCCCTGCAGACCATTCCTCTTCATCCCTAACCTGGGCTAAAGCGTCAAGTGTGAAATGAAGGGACAGAGCCAGGTGCTTCTCGTGGCTCAGCCTCGGTGATCCAACTGTGCTGAAACTGTTACATGAAAAATCCAGCACCTTTCCCTGAGCGTACATGACCTCTATTAGTTTAATACCTGCTCCAATATGCTAACCAGCTATCTTAGCCCCTATGGTCTAGAGCCTCTTATGTTCTAGGCTCTGAATCTGCCTGGTCATTAATGGATTCTTTAGAAATAATCTCTAGCTCTACTTGCATGAAAGCAGTTACCCAGCCTTGCTTTGAAAAGAAGGCAATATCCTGGACTTCCTACAAATACATGAACCTCACATCTGTCTCCCCACCTCATTTCCGACGGAATGTTTAAATGTATGCTCCACTTTGTTCCTCTTTTTCCCATTGCCAGAACAGGCCCCTTCCCCTTATTACCACCTCTGGCATTCTAACAAGCAAATGCACATTGACATACAAGGTCATCAAATAGATATTTCCATTTAGATGCAGACTGCACCCTTCATGTAAAGTCTGTTTGCTGACAAGATTGTGAGCCCCTCAATGAAGGATACACTTCCCCAGAAGCAGTGAGACTCTAGACCAAATTCACCTTCCGAGAGAATAACAAAACCAGTCTAGCACCTTTGAAATAGTGCTATTTCTATCATATTTAATGACAAAACTCAGAAAGCTTTCTGTTAATAAATGCCAGCAGTTTCATTTCCCGGGATTGTGTACAAAGCCAAAGGGAAGCATTTTCCTCACAAAGTAACTGCATAATATATTATATCGTAATAATTTAATAGAGTAATGGCATTGCCTTGATCTTGACATTTCTTTAAAAGTTTTATTCCTTTCTGAAAGAACCCCAGACATTCACACAAACGACTTGCTTTGCTCATTCTTTCACAATTTATTACATGTAATTATTGGAGTGGTGAGGGCCAAATTGTTGCTATAGAACAGCTAAGGTGAAATGTTCCATCATTTGTGAAGAGAGTTGTGAGCTGTTTTGCTTTAATTTAAATTCATCATGTCTATTTGAAGTAAGTAGAATGATATTGATCGGACTTACATAATCTGTCATCTTCATAAGCTTCAAATTAAGAAGCAAAACAGAGTTTAATATTGCCACTTACTTTCAACAATTACATTGAGATGGTAATGAATATCTTATTCAGACTTATCAATTGATGCACCTGGCACAAGCTGAATAGGTTTTTTTTAAAAAAAAAAAAAATCGTAGCTTTCTCCCCCTAAATTAAATCCTATAGAACCAATGTAGGATTTGCCATCTGGAAGCATGCTGGAATCTAGGACAGTTGCCTTTAAATGCTGATCTATGGACTGGATGTGTGGGCATTACCCAGGAAGCGTTTCTAAACAATGCATTTACTCAGATAGTCACCCCAGAAGGTGATGCACAACTAGGTGTGGGGACCACTAACTAGAGTTTTACAAGAGTGTTCCTTGAGACAAAGTCTGATACTCCCCCCAAAAGTGTTGCACCCACAAGGAAGTTTGAGAAGCACTGCATACTGTATTTACTTGAGAGGTTTATAGTGTAACTCAACATATTATAGGATTTTGGAAGTTCTTCAGCAAATAAACCAGCTTAGCCCAACATTTCCCGAACAAGGTGACCTTGGAATCTAATTGTTGCTTAATAACCAATCAAGATTTTCCCAGGATATGGTTTAGGAGAAAATAACCTGCTGCAGAGTTTTCAGCGAGGGCTTGGTAGGGAGTTCCCCCTAGATGTAAGTCTCCAGGAGTGGGGAAGAGTGTCAGGTATATGTGTTTATCAAAGAGTATGAGTTTATTAAGATTGAGAAGCACTGATCATGAAGAACTACTGTTTATTTAGTGTCTACTGTGTACCAGGCACTGAGTTGGGTTCTTTTACCTGTGGATTAAATCTTTACAAGCACCCCCACAAAGTTGTTATTTTATTATTATTTTTTGAGACGGAGTTTCACTCTTGTTGCCCAGGCTGGAGTGCAATGGCATGATCTCAGTTCACTGCAACCCTCCGCCTCCCGGGTTCAAGCGATTCTCCTGCTTTAGCCTCCTGGGTAGCTGGGATTTTAGGCGCCCACCACCACATCCGGCTAATTTTTTGTGTTTTTAATAGAGACGGGGTTTCATCATGTTGGCTAGGCTGGTCTCAAACTCCTGACCTCAGGTGATCTGCCTGCCTCAGCAAAGTTGTGATTTCAAGATGAGGGGGATGAAGCTTTGGAAGACCCTTTCACAACTGTGACCAAGTGTGAACGCTGATTCTTTAACTTGTGCTTAGTTGTGGGAAAGGAAAAAAGTGAGACCTGGGGATAGGTAGGTGGGTGAGCTAGTGGTGACTGCTGTTAAAACCTTCATTTTACAGAAAGGCATTCCTCATGAAAATTATATGCTGTGCATTTAATTCTGGTTATAGTATTTTTGTTTCCTGAGGATTTTCAAATTGTGCATCTTCCCATAGGTGTTTGGTAGCTGCTATCACAAAAGTCAGGGTATTGCTCTATTTAAATTGATAAGATTTTAAATAAAATTGCTAGCACTGTCTTTCTCTCTATCAATGTTCAATTCTTTAGACATAATTATCATTGTTTACTTCAAATTAAAGTGACCAGACCAACTGACCTTGGGTCATAAGTCAAGTAATGGTTCTCCTTGAGTCATCATGGGTATACTTGCCACTTCTGAAACAATAAAACAGTTTTATATTGTGTGTGGAATGTCCTGATCCAGGCTGTTTTACCATTTCTTTGACTATTCTTAAGGGAGAACGGCCCAGGCTGGGCACAGTTGCTCATGCCTGTAATCCCAGCACTTTGGGAGGCCAAGGCAAGAGGATTGCTTGAGCACAGGAGTTTGAGACCAGCCTGGGCAACATGGCAAGACCTCATCTCTATTATTTTAAAAAAATGTTTTTAATTTTAAATTGAAATGTGTTTGTGTGTGTGTGTGTGTGTGTGTGCATATCTAGATGTGTGTGTGTGTGTGTGTGTGTACCTGTGTGTGTGCATATATATGATGATGAGGCAGATTGATTCTTTTCTCAACAAAAAAATATATTTCCCTTTGGATCTTAACCTAAGTTTGATCCTCAATTATAACATTATATAGTGCTTTTTAAAATTTGCGCTTTAATGGTCATATTAAGTACATATTAGTTTAAATGTGTCACTTGTAGTTCTTTAAAAGGTAGCAACAAATATGATACTTTTTGACTTTGAGCACTACATATTTGCATTTCTGAAGCCCAAATATCATTATAATTACTCTATGATTCAGGTCAGAATACTCTAAAATCACATGTGTAAGGACAAACTGGTTACTGCTAGGAGTCCCCCAGATTTTTTTAAATGGCTCTTTTCTTATTACTAAAGCAATGCTCGTTTACTGTAAAAAAATTAAATTACAGATGGACAAAGAAGTCATCTATTATCCCATCAACTATTGTTAGCGTTTTGGCTTTCCATATAGGACTTGCCAAACATTTTTAATTGCACATATTTATTTTTAAACTCCAAACAATGTCATTCTATGTTGCTGAAGGAAGAACGCACAACACATATATGAAATCCATAACCACTTGTAATTAATTATACTGCCAAAATGTGTAGACAATAGAAGCTAGGTAAAGTTAGTCAACTAACATTTTGCCCCTCCATGGTACAGGTAAGTAGTAGAGTAATGCAGAACCACTTTGTATCATTTATCTTTTAATTCAATTTTTGAAGGTAATGCATTCTCACAGTTTTAAAATCAAAATTAGATAGAAAAGTAAACATTGAGAAGTGTTGTCCGCCACTGTCTTCTATTCTGTTCCTTTACCTTCTTCCCTGTGGTGAAGTCTTTTCTTAGTTTCTTGGGTTGGAAATAAGAACACGTAATTCCTACTGAGACAAAAAGTTGCATTTTCTACATATTCTTCTGTACCTTTCCACTTAGTTTCTCCCAGAGTTCTTCTGTATGAAAACATAGAGAGCTGTGTCTTTTTTTCATAGCTGCATAGTGTATAGTTCTGTGGATGTACCATAGTTTAAATACCTTGTTCTTTACAGACAATCTTTTGCTTGTGTAAACAGTGTCACAGTTAATACTCATGTATATAAATCATCTTATATGCATAGACATAACTACAGGAAAATTTCCAGAATTCAAATTGCAGAGTCAAAAGATAAGCACATTCGTGATTTAATCAGTACTGTCAAATTGTTCCTTGTAAAGATCATAGCAATTCCGCTTCTGTCAGTATGTGTCCCCAAAGCCTCATAATCACTTTTTATTTGAAAAATATTTTGTTTTTTAAAGCAAATACCATTCTAATAATGTTGACTTGTTAGAATTTATATCCTCTGAACCCAAACCAATGATTTAATACATTATTTTGAAGTCAGTGTAACTATTTATTTATTATTTATTAACATGGAAAGGAGCCATGGCACAGATATCCACACTGGCAGATAATTCAGTTGTAATTCGATTCAGCTTTGGAATGTAGTGTGACTTTTTACTCACTAAATTTTCTTTCCTAATCATGTCTGTATTATAAAACATTGTTTAATACATAGTTTTTAGTACAAATTGGCTACTGGTGGAAGATGAGGCCAAAAATTAGAAAGAGGCCAGTATAGGCTGAATTTTTTTCTACTTTATCTCTGGGATAGTGATATTTTATTTTGTTTCTTTGAAATATCTCTATTATTTAAAATATTTATGATGTGCTTAGATTACTTGTGTAAAAAAGTAGATTCTTACTTGCTAATAAAAAGTCCAACACAAATAAAATATTTTATTATTTATTTTCACCCCTAGAAATGTTCACCCCAAGAGAAAGAATATTATTTTAAGTAGCAGTAATTAATCAATTAACATACATTTTAATAAAATTAGTTCCAACATTAAAAACTGCACCTCGCCATCTGTCGCTTAGACAGTAGAGAAGCCATGTGTAAATAATTGAGAAGTTATGGTTGTGCTGGCCTCAGTGCAGTCCTCGGGGGGGTCAGCTGCACAGAGGTGTCTGATTCAGTCTTTTTCTCCTCTTGCAGCATCTTCCTCAAAGAGCTGGAGAAGTACGAGCAACTGCCTGAGGATGTGGGACACTGCTTTGTTACCTGGGTAACCTACCTGAAATCCTTCTCCCACTGCCCATACACATGGCACCACTCTTCAGTGCCTGACCTAAGGACTGGGGTCACTGCCAGTCTCACACAGGACCAGGGGCTACTGAGAGGGACCACGAGTAGGTCTGAGAGAAGCCTTGGGAAAAGTTCTTAGACATCAGGATTAAGCTCCGTCTTAAGCTGTCTAAGAACTTTCTAAAACTGTGAGGTTGGAAGAGTGGAACAAGACTACCACCGCTGGCAGAGCAACTGCATCAGCTCAGTTCATTAGCTGTTGTTACAGGATATGGATTAGGGAATTAGAACTTTAGGAAGCCACCTAACCATTTTTTTAAAATTTATCTTTAATTTTGTGGATACATGGTAGGTGTATATATTTATGAGGTAGACAAAATACTTTGATATAGACATGCGATGTGAAATAAGCACATCATGGAGAATGGGTGGGGTGTCCTTCTCCTCAAGCATGTATCCTTTGGGTTCCACCTAACCATTGGTTACATTTTCTTCTTTAATAGAGAAAAACAGATTTTTTGGGTATCCATCCCAATTCTGACCCACAAGATGAGTGCCTGGTCATCCTCCTTCATGCTATTGTCATGGACCAAGTAAAGGGACTGAATGTACCGGGCTCTAATTATATAAACTGAAACATTAGTCTTCATTGGCTCTCCACTCCGCATTATTCTGAACTCAGGCTCATGTACAATATGTGAATGCAAACATCTCCAGGGAAGTCCACTTAGGACACTGAGTGCAAACATGCAAGTCTTCCCCCGGGGTCAAGCGTTCTACTATTTCGTAATTACCTGATAATAACTTCCACCCATAAGGGGCTAATTGCCTTTCAAAGTGTCTTCATGATTCAGAGAGATTATGTTCTCAACAGCCCTATGTGGTAGGCAGGACTATGTTTATGTTTTAGATTTTAAAGATGGGAAAATTTCAGATGAGATCGGAGGTTGACTAGTTCACTGACACGTAATAAATATCACAGCCAGTCCCACAACTCAAGACCTGACTCCCAGACAAGCTTTTTTTCATGAAATCTTAACGTTTGCTTTCAAGCACTCTTGTTTCTTCAGAAAGTCTTAGCTACCATTTTATTTTTTCCTAATACATTTTCTACCTCTAAATAGATGAGCCAATGCAAAGCTCATATTAATGCTGATAAATAATTTATGACTCCTTGCACAGCCAACATAGAGAATGACAAGATTGACCATTAAGTAAAGGGGTTTTTTTGCATCTTCTTTCATGAAATTTGTGGATTTCCTTTACAATCAGTCATAAAAATGATTTATCATCATCTCCTAGGGATGGTGAATAACCTCCTAGGTAGTGTATAGCCCTGAAAATTGGTTTCAGAATTTTTTTGTGATTGGATAAAATATTCACCTTTTACCAAGAATTACCCCAAGGTGACTTTCTTAAGGCTCATAATCTTAATATATGAGTGTAATGCAGAAATGAAGGGTAGAAGAAGTTGTTTGTAATGTATTAAAAGGCAGTGGTCAAGATCAAAAGGCCTAAAGTCAGATACCCTACTTGCTACCTGCTAACTGCGGGAATTCAAAGTCACTTGATCAATCTGTGCCACAGTTTTCTCATCTGCAAACTGGGGATAATAACGGAACTCACTGTACAGAGGTCTCATAAGGACCAAATGAGTTAATACATGTAAAGCTCTTAGAACAATGCTAGCATAAATGAAACCTGCTGTAATAAACACTTATTTGGGCTGCTGTCTCAGAAGAGGATGCCAACACAACGTTCCAAAGGCACTGAGATGGGTAGCATTCCACCAAATAAGAAAAGTATTTGCTGGGCAAAATACACATACCTTTCCCAGTAACACTAACCCAGAGAGTTTTGAGAGTCTTGAATTTTCTCCCAGCCATAAGGTTCTTGGCTTGAAGTAACAATCTGGTTAGGAACCATTGTTTAGCCTCTGCCCAGGGGGTTACTCTGCTTTCTTTTTCCCTGTCATTGCTCTGGGAGGTTGAGGATGGCATAGTTCCTTGCCATGCCCCTCCACCTTTGTCCAATGGAGACATTTAGAGTACAAGCAGATCTACCTTTGAGATCATACTTTATCTTCATTATTTGTTTTTGTATTCAGAGCAAATGCTGTCCTTTTTCAAGATGGGGAGCACAATTGTAGATAATCAAAAAAAGGGTAAAATCTGTAAGTTCTGTCTAACTTCAGAATATGTCAGGATATATGAGTTGCTTTCTCTGATTCTTTCTAGCACAAACTAGTATTAAAATGAGCTCAGTTCCAGAAGCTTTCTGTACGTACTGACAGAAAAAGACCTCCCAATGTCTGTTAGGAGACCATGGAGGCTGGATGAGCATAGAACATTTGCCATAGAAAATCTAGACACTGGCATCTGAGGGTTTTGACTGTACAGCCCTTGCTGGGGCATTCAGCATGGTGGACAGAAGGGAGCAACTAATGAATGCTTATCTATTATTATCTTTGTTCTTTTTAGGCAGACAAATTTCAGATGTATGTCACCTACTGTAAAAACAAGCCTGATTCCAACCAGCTTATCCTGGAGCATGCGGGCACCTTCTTTGATGTAAGCTGTGGTTTTCTATTCTTGAGCAGCTGATGAGCAGGTGGAAATGCTTCTCTGCTTTGGCATAATGGATGTTTAGCTATCCTTTTTTCCTAAATTTTCTTTACTGGCCACTCCAAACCTTAAGCATGGAAAAAAAAAAAACAAAAAAACAGTGTATGTATTTTGTTTTATCCCTTCCTATCTTGACCAGTGTGATTTTGGACGAGGCAAATTTGTCTCCATGCCTCCACACCAAACCTAGGTAGCCATAAAGCACATGTTTAGAGAAGGCCCACTGTGATGCAGTGGTTGATTAATATATTTCACTTCTGCTTCACATACAGCTCTCACAAACGTAGTGTTTCCAAAAGTGTGATCCTTGGACCTCAGTCCACGTCTATTAAATCAGAATCTCTCAGCGGGAGCCCAGCAACCTGAGTTATAAGGAGGCCTCTGGGTAGCTGAAGTCCACTCAAGTTTGAGAATCAGTTCTCTAATGCAATTGATTCAACCTTGGCTACACATTGGAATCACCTGGGGAGCTTTGAAAAAAACTGATTCCTGAATCCCATGCCTGAGGTTCTGCTGTGATTGGCCTGACTGTGGCCTGAGCATTGGAATATTTTAAAGTTTCTGGTGACAGTGATGTGCAGCCAGGGCTGAACACCTCTGCTATAACAGAAGCCAGGAGAAGAATGAGGCTGATGTGCCTTGTCAGATCCTTTGGTTTGGAATGATGACACAATCCTGTTGAATGGTGGGATCTATTTAGTGCTGGTTCCCAAAGAGAGTGACCTATTGGCTTTACAGTAAGCAAAATCAAAGGGGGCTCTGCAGGATTCAAAGGATGAATAAGAGGGAAAGATGAAATTGGGGAAAAAAGAAAGTTTAGTGAGAGGCGGACTATAGCAGTGAAGGCCATTTTGGCAGTCATATCAGAAGTGACAGAAACTAGAAACAGCACTTTTTAAAGGTTATCTGTCTATCTTTCTGCCTACCTGTTTTCATTTTTTTCATAAATCTTTGTATGTCTACTGTATGCAAGATAGTGGGCTAGGCCCCGTGGAGTATATAAAGACATTTAAACATGGCTCTTGTACTCAAGTGTACAAAAGACACCTTCCTTGAGCATCTTTCTAGCCTGGCACTGCCTCAACAGAAATGATTCTACAAATGTCATATTGCTCAGTAAGGAAATGACTCTTGAATGGAAAGAAGCCAGATGAGGAAAAACGCACATGATTTTTTCAATGGAGCATTAATATGGAAATGGCTGTATGTGTCCCACACTAGAATATCTTGGGTTAGATTTGGCATCACAGAAGAACCCAAGAAAAGTGCTTCTCTCACCTGATATTATTGGGTATCATATTAGATGCCCTATGCCACCATTACATCTGATTGAGAATCTTTTTCTCTTAGGATGCTTCTGTTGATTATTCATGAGCAATATCCAGAAGGGTCTTTTTGAAATTTTAAATACATTGTGTCCTGTCTTCCACTTAGCACTTTTCTGACATACATGTCCTGTGCTCTGAGCATGCCTCAAACTCTTCTGCTTCCTTATCTTTGCTTACACTGCTCTTTCTGCCTAGGATAGATTGTGTCCCCTCCACTCAATACAAACACACAAACACACACACCCTTCTGTCCCTCTCTCTTCAAAATTCTTCCTATCCATTAAAGTTCACATGCTACTTCCTGCATGAATCATTTCCTTTGTACTTTGTCTCTTTGTCATAGCATTTATAATGATTTGCCTTTTGGCAGGTTAACAATGCACCTTTCTGTTACTCACATCTCCCTCCACCTGTGAGCTCCTTGAGACCTTATGCCTGATTCATTTTTGTCACATCCCAGTGCCTGGCACCAGACTGTATTTTCCCTTAGTCCCACCTACCTTTCATCCCCATTTCTAGCCAATTTCTATGCTTTGATAAGTCAGATATATCCGCAAATTTCCCATTGTGTACCCCATTTCCAACATAGTGCCTAGTGAACCTCTACATCAGTTGGAAAGACTGATGGAAGCCAGAAAACCGCTCCAGTATGAGTTCTTCAAGTCTGCCCTGGAAGTGGGAATGGAGGACAGTAGACTCTCTGGATTGCTTTCAAAACTTTCCAAAAGGCATAATCTTTGCAGCTTATTTTCATTCCATCGGAAGAGTTTCCCTAACTTCTACAATTAGGAACCATCTGCTTTAGGCCCTCATTCTATAAATGAGATTTATAAATGAGATAAACCCTTAATAAAGGCAGTCACCTAATATCCATGACTGTAAAAAGAACGCAGAGAATTAAAGTCCTAGAAAGGCTTACACATTCACATGATCCAGAATTTTTGACCCTAAATGTGAGAACAGCATGGGTGTGATGTCTAAGCTTGGTTTGACTGATGTAGGCCCCTCCCTCTCTGCTCCACATGCAGCCTTCCTGAAGCTGGGCTTTTTGTCAGAGAGGAAAGAGTGCCAAAGGTGAATTGTTGCTTGTGCTTTCTTGCCAAAGCTCCCAGATAAACTCACAAGGTTCAGTTGCCTGAAGAGAGTCAAGCTGCAGCTGTTTTGCCCATCATCCTCAAGCCTTGTAACTACACACCTCTGGGGAAGAGGCAAATAGTGACAAAATTACTACTTTCTGGGATAGAAATCATTTCTTATAGGCAATGGCATAATTTTTAAAATTATTATTATCTCTCCTCCACCCTTCTTCATAGCCCCATAACAAGTCCTATCAAGTCCATCTTTAAAATATTTCTTTTATTCTTCCTAATACTTTATTCTCACTAATTCTAGCTTAGGGCATGCCCCTACATTGCATACCTGGACCTATTTTTAAAATAACAGCTTTACTGAGAGATGATTTCAGATATCATACATTTCACCCATTTAAAGTATGAATTCAGTGTTTTTGTGTGTGTGCTCACAGATATGTGCAACCATCCCTACAGTCGATTTTAGGACACTTTCATCACCTCACAAAGCAACCCTGTATCCTTTAGCCATCACCTCCCAGCGCTCCACCACAAACCCCCACACCCAAACAACCAGTGATGTACTTTATGTCACTGCAGATAGATCTGCCTTGCCTGGACATTGCATAAAAATTGAGTCATAATACATGGTCTTTTGTGACTGGCTTCTTTCACTTAGCATAATGTTTTCGGAGTTCATCTATGTTGTTTCGTGCATCAGAACTTCATGCCTTTTTATGTCCAAATAATATTCCATTGTATGAATATTCTACATTTTGTTTTTCCACTTATCAATTCATGGGTATTTGGGTTTTTCATGCATAGACCTGGAATTTGAATTGCTGGATCATGTGGTAACTTCAGATCTACACACCTGGGCTTTTGCAATAGCTTCATAACTTGTCTCTGTCTATTTCTCCAAGATTTACCCCCATGTTGCTATTAGATATATATTACTCTTTCTGAAACGTTACTTTCATCATGTGTTTTTTTCTCTTTTTTGTTGTTGTTTGTTGTTTGTTTATTTGTTTGTTTTGAGACAGGGTCTCTCTCTGTCACCCAGGCCGAGTGCAGTGGCATGATCATAGCTCGCTGCAGCCTTGACCTCCTAGGCTCAAGTAATCCTCTGACCTCAGCCTCCCAAGCAGCTGGGACCACAGGCACGTGGCACCATATCCAACTAATTTTTGTATTTCTTGTAGAGATGGGATCTGGCTATGTTGCCCAGGCTGCTCTTGAACTCCTGGACGCAAGCAATCCTCCTGCCTCGGCCTCCCAAAGTGCTGGGATTACAGGCATGAGCCACCATGCCCCACCCGTTTCTTCTCTTTAAGATCTGTGATGCTTTCCCATTGAAAAACTTACCCTCATATCCTAACTCTTTTCTAACTCAAACCCATCAATGACCCAGCCTTGCATATCTAACTTTATTTTTCACTTCTTATGGAAGGTGGGTGTGCATCCTCTGTACCATTCAGTCATGGTCCTCATCATCATGTAAACATACAATGATTATTTCAGCCGATACATTTTGTGTTTGATGTAAGTGAGTGTCATTTCTCCAACCTTTTACTTAACCCACCCCACCTGCCCACCTCACCTCTTAGACCCAGGTGAGGTTGAGGCCTTGTCTCTACTAACTACCTGGCCACTCCGAAACCCAGTAATCTCTCCCATTTTTATTGGCTGTACCATTTCCTGTACTGTCCTTTGTTGATCTCTAGTTCATATGCGTTGAGTATTCTCAGCTAGACTGTAAGCTTTTTGAGGACAGGGACAAAAATGTACCTTTTTCTGCTGCTTATAACCCCTAGACTTTGGGGAGTAGAAGATCATTTTGGAGGTGGGATAGAGAATAAAAGGAGACACTAGAAGCACAAACAGCAATTGGAGGCCATGGCCTTAGCCTGGGCGTGAGTGATGAGGGTGATGTCCCTGGAAATGGAAAGGAAAGATTTGTCACCAGGGATAACAGAGGAGAAATGACTAAAATTGACTCCATGGTTTCTAGCTTAGGAGACCTGAAGAATGAAGGAGGTGCCATGGATCACTATGAAACATTTATAAGAAATAAAGTGATGACCCTAAGTTGGGATGTGTTAAATTTAAAGAGAAGGATGGTATTAATAAAGGAGATATATCCATGTGCTATTTTAAGGTGACTGAGGGCAGGGAAAGACTCATCAGGAGCCATCAGAATGGAAGTCAGAGCCTCATTCTCTGCCTTCCCTGTACTCTCTTCTCCCCTTTTTGGAGCTGATTTCCTTTCACTCCTACTTCATCTCTCCTTACCCTCTGCTCTGTTATTTACCTTATTGCTCTCTTTCCTACTGCTCTTTTTCTCCATTTTTGTTCAATTTCTATTTGTTTCACATATCTGCTTCTTTCCCTAACCCTTCTCTCTTTTTAGTCTCTTTCCTATTTTCTCTCTATATCCATCTTGGTCTCTTTTGTTTCTCTTTTTACTCCCTCTCCCTATCAAAGAACATGTTCTCAAACTTGTCTACCTTTTTCTCTTTCTTCCTCTCTTCTGACCCCTGCCTCTCTCCTTTCAGAACACACACATACACATGCCCCTCTGTGTCTAATTGCACCTTGTTCTCATCCCTGCAGGAGATACAGCAACGGCATGGTCTGGCCAATTCCATCTCTTCCTACCTAATTAAGCCTGTCCAAAGGATCACCAAATATCAACTTCTCCTGAAGGTACCTCCCCTCCCCTCCACATCCCCCTCCACTGCCTACTGCCTATGGCAAGGGAGTCCCAGCTTTGGCCCGTAAGGATGGGAATGCTTCCACCTGAAGACCTTTCTTCTACCTAGAGCAGAACTTCCGCCCACACTGGCATTGCTGTCCTATCCCATGGAATTCCAGATGCCTATTTTAAGGCAGAAAGGGAAGAAAAGGGAGCAGGAATAAGTTGTGACTATTTTCTCGTCTACCTACCACTGCAGAACTTTTAGCAATTGCCTTCTCAGGCACTGACTGGCTCCTAGAGGCTTTCTTGTCCCTCCTTATAAAAGCAGATTCTTCCTGGTAGCCCCTGCTTTTGATGAAATCAAGGGTCAGAGTCTGGCCAGGCACAGTGGCTCGTGCCTATAATCCCAGCACTTTGGGAGGCTGAGGTGGGCAGATCATTTGGGGCTGGGAGTTTGAGACCAGCCTGGCCAATGTGGTGAAACTCCATCTCTACTAAAAATACGAAAGCTTAGCCGGGGTGGTGGTGTGCACCTGTAATCCCAGTTACTCGGGAGGCTGAGGCAAGAGAATCACTTGAACCCAGGAGGCAGAGGTTGCAGTGATCTGAGATCACGCCACTGAACTCCAGCCTGAGTGACAGAGGGAGACACAGTCTCAAAATAATAATAATAATTAATAAATAAATAAAAGGTCAGAGTCCTAAGGGCAGTGCCAGTTTACATGGATAGTTGAGGCCAGAGTGGCACCTACCATTGTCTTAATCTCTGTGTTTGCCAAGACGATGAGGATTTTGAGGGAAAATAGTCAAAAGGTACATATTAAAACACAAGAGTATTCTTATATCTGTAGGTTCTCGCATGTTGGGGTTCTTCTGGAGTCAACCAAGAGATTTGGATCTTCCTTCAAAACCTTTTCGTTAAAAGTTAAATAACCAAATATGCAAAACACTAAGTAATTTGAGTTGATCCTTCTCATATAAGAATGCATTGATACATTGAAAATCATGTCATTTCCACAGAAAGCCTGGGGAATTGACACAAGTAGTTAAATAACCCCCATCTATATTAATTCCTAAAGTTTAGGGGTAGAGTTTTCCCTCATTTGAAATATACTGCTGGATGCTCCTTTACTGCAAAGATAAAGGGATAGTAGGGGACATGTTATAAGTACATTGTGTAATTTCAGAGAAAATCTGATGTAATTCAGCTCCTGTTTAGAGATGCCTGCAAAAATTTGCATAATCTTGTTTCACTGAACTTGAAAACCAGTCTAATTTCAAATCCGCCATTCTAGTCACACTGGAGTGAGTTCACCATTCCTAGTCCGTGGAATCTCCCTGGCTTAGCACTTGAGGTTCCGTGATGAGAGGCGTGAGGGCAGCAGTGCAGTGAAGGTGCAGGAGCCTGTGCCCTGGTAGGGTTTTCTGTCCTCTGAGTCAGAGTGGGGCCGTGCCACATCATTTCCCTTCAGCCTCCTCCCTGCAATTCTTCTCCTTCCTCATCTCCAAGAAGAGGCTACGGGCGTTTGCTTCCAGGATTCCAGCCATCCAACCCTGCAGAAATGGCTTAAAGTGTTACAACTGGACATCACACCCTCGGCCTTTACTGAGGACTAGCGTGAGAAAAGAGTGTGCAGGCACCCCAGCTGTCCTGGCAGAACTGCTTTCCCTTCTTTGTTTTTTGAAATTTCTTATATAAAGGCTCACAAGAAATTCTTGTGAGACCTCAGGACAGGGGCATAGGGAATCCTTTCTCCTGAAAAATGGATATACTTTCTGTCTTTAAATGACAGGTGCTCAGGCCCTTCTTTACCTGTGGCTATTAGAAAGTTGGCATTGAATTTTGTGGTTGCTTACAGTAGAATCTCCTTAGCCCAGATTTTGTGTATAATTATCTTCTTCTTTCCTATCCCACTTAATGCTTGGCCTTTTAAAATTATTTTTCATGGCCGGGCTTGGTGGCTCATGCCTGTAATCCCAGCACTTTTGGAGGCCAAGGCAGGTGGATTGCTTGAGGTCAAGAGTTCAAGACCAGCCTGGCCAACATGGCAAAACCCCGTCTCTACAAAAAATTAGCTGGGCATGGTGGCATGTGCCTGTAATCCCAGCTACTCAGGAGGCTGAGGCATGAAAATTGCTTGAGCCTCGGAGGCAGAGGCTGCAGTGAGCCAATATCATGCCACTGCACTACAGCCTGGGCAACAGGGTGAGACTCCGTCTCAAAAAAAAAAAATGAATAAAATAAAAAATGAAATTATTTTTCTTCTGCTAATAGACTTTTTAAAATTGATTTTTATGGTTTTTAATGTACGTATCCCACCCAAAGGTTTTTCAGGAATTGGTGGGGTTATGAATTTAAAAAGAAAAAAAAAAAAGGAAAGAAAGACAAACCAGTGCTGACTCAACTATCCACACTCCCAGTGTCTTAAATCAACTAAGATGCAGTTCTAAAAGAAATATAGCTTTTTACCTCTTCCTTTAATCCTGTAAGGTATAAGCCCCCTAGGATGAATTATGTGGCACAGACAAGGGAGGGAAGTTGAGGATAGAATAGGCTTGTGTTTTGCTGTAGGCAGTTGAAGGAGTGGGCTCTGGAACTTTGTTCTGGAATTGAGTGTTTTAGGAAAAGGTGCCTATAGAGGTAGCTAAGAAGTGGAAAAATAAAGTGGCAGGAATTTGATTGTGAGGAAGTAAATTTTTTTTTTTTTTGAAAACAGGCTGGGCACAGTGACTCACGCCTATAATCCCAGCACTTTGGGTGTCCAAGGCGGGTGGATCACTTGAGGTCAGGAGTTCAAGACCAGCCTGACCAATATGGTGAAACCTCATCTCTACTAAAAATATAAAAATTATCCAGGCATGGTGGCATGCACCTGTAGTCCCAGCTACTCAGGAGGCTGAAGCAGGATAATTGCTTGAACCTGGGAGGCAGAGGTTGCAGTGAGCTGAGATCGAGCCACTGCACTCCAGCGTGGGTAATAGAGCGAGACTCTGTCTCAAAAAGAAAAGAAGATAGTTTTGGTCTTTTTTAAATGTGCTATTGGCAGAGTGCCTGCTGAGTAAGAGAAAAATAATTTGCTGAGCTTTTACCATAAATAAATAATATGGGATTTATTTTCATAAAGTCAGTTTTATTTCAAATAAATGCATATTTAATTATCGGTATCCTCTGGGTTCATCACTTTAGATATGGCGTGAAAGTAGAAACTTTATGTCAGAGTGCTCAGTATTCTTTATGTAAATCTGCTGTGGCTTTACAAAAGGATCCTAAATTAAATGTGGAGCCTTCTCCTTATCACAAAGTATAGCAAGGATCAGAGAAAATTTATTGGCCCAGCTGGTAGATTGGTAGACTTGCTCAATTGTTTTGGGCAGGTGGGATTAAACTAATTCGTGTTTTCTGTCACAAACTGAAGCATATTTCTTGTTTTTTCTCTTATGTTTTACCTCAGGATTTTCTTTGATGATGTATGAAAATAAGATTGGGAAGGTTAAAATAAGGAAAGGGGTGGGAGAATCTGAGAACTTTAGGTTGGCAGAAGTCAATATCACTTTCTGAACAAGAATGACATTATACTGACTGGAGCCAAGGACAGAGCTGAGCACTGATCACTTCTCCCTCCCAAACATGTGCTCTAGGGGGCGCACTTCTTCTTTGGACTCTCAAAGCTCCCTTATTCCTATGGGAGTGTATCCAAGCTAACACTAAGGATTAGATTTTTAGATCAGACTCTCACTAATTAGATATCTTACCAAGTATAAAGCTTGACTACTAATTTCAAGGATACAAGTAATTCCAAGACAGAGGTGACATGGGAAAGGGCCAGGACCACCAGTGCAACTCCAAGCCTTTTCTTGCAGAATCAGGACGTGCTGAGGCCAGATTGATCTACAAGGTCTGTAAATTATGTATGTCACATTGTATCACTTGCCCTGAAGAGAGTCATTTGGTCATGAAAGACATTCCCCTTTTACTTAGATAGCTGCGTAGCTTATGTGACACCTTCCAGAGAGCCATGCCTCTAAAGCCACAGATTCTAGGATTATTTACCATAAGAAGCCCTAGACAGACCAGATTTATCCTATTAAAAGCATTTCCTAGATAAGTCCTCTTTTGCTAGCAAGTACCATTAGGTTATTTGTCAAGAGGTCTGTCATTAACGTGTTTACAAGATTTGATCCGGTGAACTTCTTTCTTTCTGGGAAAAGCACCTCCACTCAACACGCATCCCCCGCCCCCTGGAGGAGAGAGTATGGATTGCAGATCTGTTGCTTAACCATTCCCTTCCCAGTATCAAAGTGAGCAAGATACAGTGACCCTGATAGGAAAAATGAAAAGCCAACATTCTTCTGGTTTGGGCAAAAATCATTCCAAGTAGTCTTATGATTCTTAAGATAGTTGGAAATGATCTTTTCTCCACCAACCAAATACTGTATATATTTTATGGGGATGGTGATGACTGAGTCTCCAGTGAGGAAATACAAAAGAAAGGACATACTCCCCAGCTCCCCAGGATGTAAAAGAAAGAAGGTATTGCCTCTGGAAGCCTCAATGGGGGACAGAATATAGGAGAGACAGGGTTGATGTGGTGGATAAAGTGCCAGACTTGGATTTGGGGGATCTGGATTCAGGCCTCTGCGTAGCCTCCACTGAGTTCTATAACCTGAGGAAAATCACTTTATCTCTCTTAATCGCACTTACCTCATCTGACAGTGAAATAGCCTAGAAGCCCATCTATTGGCCCCAGATTAGGAACTCCTGATCCATATGATCTAAAAATATTTTATTACTCTGGGGTGTCATAAGCCTGTTAAGTCTGCAACCTCGGGTTGTTCCCAGTAGGATGGAAGTCAGCTTTCAGGCTGTAGAGGCTTGTAAATAAAAGTGGTGTCAGCAGTAAGCATGCAGGGATATATGGGTGCTGCGTAGCACACTCTTTATCTTCCCTTTATCCTTCTCATTCTTCTCTTTGTTCTCTTTATTGGATTATACAATACTGCACCTCTGTTCTTGTGCTTTACCGGGGTAGTCCCTTCCCTAAGAGGGCAGTCCAGTGACAGAGAATGCCTCAGTTGCTGACTTACAGATCAAGCCATTTGGGAGTTGGGTTGGATTGAGTTAGTTTGGGCTAGATTGGGCTGAGAATGCTCAGTGTGAGAGAAAAATTGTGGTTGAATTCTTGGAGATAACCCCTTACCCCACTTCACTTTCTTTATAGCTCAGAGGGAACCATTACAGAGAGCGAAGCTGGTCTGTAATTTCCTTGGTGGGTTAGGTGGTGGGAGGAAGCTGGGGGAGATGGCCCTAATTGTGTCTGGACTTTTTTTCCCCCAGGAACTTTTGACTTGCTGTGAAGAAGGGAAAGGGGAGCTCAAGGATGGCCTGGAAGTGATGCTCAGTGTCCCAAAGAAAGCCAATGATGCCATGCATGTCAGCATGCTGGAAGGTAGCTGTCCTCCCCGCACTGGGGAAGCCTCCTCTCCTCCTTAAGACGGGGGAACTTGCATCATGAGAGGGAAGTGGCATGAAGTTAGACAAAAAAAGCTAAGGCTGGAAGAGAGAAGAAACGACAAATAGTTACATAGGCCCTTGTCGTGTGAGAGGGCTCCACAAGGACCAACCTGGCTAGCACCCTGCTTCCAGGAAGGACCAGGCCTAAGCCACTGGAGGTTATGTGGACATGTTGCTGCCCATGAGAGAGTCCAGGACAGGCCATTACCCTCACTGTTGGTGTGCTAGAGCTCCCAACCCGCAGCAGGCTTGTTTGTGTAGCATCTGCATTGCATCGCCTTGGTCGTCACAATGAACAGAAATCCTGATCACATAAACACACACAGACACACACACACAAAACATACCATCTTCAGCCTTATGCTCATTTTTTTTATTATGGTAAAATGTACATAATATGTATAGCATAAATTTACCATTTTAACAATTTTTGAATATACCGTTCAGTGGCATTAAATACATTCACATTCTTGTGCAACCAGCATTTTGTCCTCATAGAAGGTTAGTAAGTCCAGCCAAACAACTCTGATAAGACTTCAGTCAGCTGAAACTATCTTCTTGGGACCAGAAACCTGTAGAGTAAGATTCCAGTAAAGTCATCTTAACACTGCAGAGTGAGTGGGCAGAGCAGCCGTACTGGGGCGGAATTTGTTAGATGAGTTACGATTTGACATTTTTGGGGGAGGCCAAGGTGAGTGGATCACGAGGTCAGGAGTTCGAGACCGGCCTGGCCAACATGGCAAAACCCGGTCTCTACTAAAAATACAAAAATTAGCCAGTTGTGGTGGTGCATGCCTGTAATCCCAGCTACTCAGGAGGCTGAGGTATGAGAATCACCTGAGCCCAGAAGACAGAGGTTGCCGTGAGCTGAGATCGCATCGCTGCACTCCAGCCTGAGCGATAGAGTGAGACTCCATCTCAAAAAAAAAAAAAAAAAAAAAAATAACAAAAAAGTCTCGGAAAAAAAAAAAAAAAAAAAAAAAAAAAAAAAAAAAAATTAACATTTTTAATGGGTTCTAAAGGAAATGTGTATAGTCTGTTGCAAATATGTAAACACGTGGCTGTTTCATCTCTTCTGGACTCCATCCTACTCCACCAATACCACCACCACCACCACCACCACCACCTTAGGAGACTTGATATGGTCTCCATATTTCCTGGATAATCCTTAGCACCAGAAGCCTCAATTCTTAGAGCAAAGGAGCCCTGGCTATTTTCCTTAGGCTGAGCAGGAACAATCTAAATGTACTCCTGTTGACACAGTTTCTCCACTCCTTTCCTCTCTGTTCATACCTTCACCTCCACCCCACCGTGAAGTACCTGCAAGTACCCAGCTCCTCCAGTCTGTCCCTGACCTATGCTCTGGATCCAGCTACTCCATGCACGGTCTGTTTACCAGCAGCAGCAACAGCACCTGGGAGCTTGTCAGAAGTGCACATTCATGGACTCACCCCACACCTACTGAATCAGAATATCTGGGGAGGTTGGAGGGTGGGCAGTAATCTGTGTTTTCACAAGCTCTCCAGATGATTCTTATGCACATTAAAGTTTGAGAGCCTCTCTTAAAAACTTAAAGTGGTATAAATATAAACTGTATGAAGTGGTATGAATATAAACTGTTGAAGTCTTGTGCAAAGCAATCAAAGGGGGGAATTCTAGAAATGGAATATAGGAATTAAGGTAGACCAGGCACGGTAGCTCATGCCTGTAATACTAGCACTTTGGGAGGCCAATGTGGGAGGATCACTTGAGCTCGAGACTAGCCTGGGCAACAACAGCTGGTCTGTAGAGACCTTGTCTCTACAGAAAATACAAAAATTACCTGGGCATGGTGTTATGTACCTATAGACCCAGCTACTTGGGAAGCTAAGGTGGGAGGATCACTTGAACCTGGAAGTTCAAGGCCACAGTGAGCCATGATCATGCCACTGTGCTAAAAAAAAAAAGAAAAAGAAAAAGAAGAAGAAGAAGAAGAATGAAGAGAATTAAGGTAATATGACAAATAAAGATGAACTGAAGACACTCAGTCAGCAAGTGTTTGTCCTCAGCCCTACTCATAGCTGCAAGTCAGGAACAGTAGAAAGTTGTGGAGGACAAAGGAGCTATGGGATTTGCCCTTGCAGGAGGCCAACCGTGGGTATGTGAAGATGTGAGGTTGCACAGGACCTTTGCAGGAGATTCCACTAATATTGGTTATGTATATAAAAGACATGGTGCAGGAAGGGGTCAGGAGAGATCTAATTGCAATGCTCCGAGATGTCTATGGAAGTGTTCAGCAGTCTCTGGAGTTAGCAAAGAGAGAAAACCCCTTTAGGAACTGAGGACTAACAATAAGAGAGGCCTTTCTCCAAGACGGGAGTGGAACATGGTCCCCCTGACTGTGGCAGTAGAGAAACTCCACAGGGTGAAAATGGATGTTTTTCAGGGTTCGACGAGAACCTGGATGTGCAGGGGGAGTTGATTCTCCAGGATGCCTTTCAAGTGTGGGACCCGAAGTCGCTGATCCGGAAGGGGCGGGAGCGGCACTTGTTCCTCTTTGAGATCTCCTTGGTTTTTAGCAAGGAAATCAAAGACTCTTCAGGACACACGAAATATGTTTACAAGAACAAGCTACTGGTAGGTGGGGCAGGTGGGATAAGACAAGACTCCCTGCTTTCATAGAACCCATGGGCAGGAAGGGATCTGGACACACTCATCTCATCTCCTCCCTGGCCTCCACACCAAAACCATCCTGGACAAATGAAAATGTCTCCTATCTGGAAAGCACCCCACTCACCTCCCACGTCTGCATTTTAGAGTTCACAGTTCTTCTTTCTGTTTGCTTTTAGCACCTCCCTCTTCACCTTCCCTCCCTGGTACCTGCTAATCAGGCACGTGCCTGTAGGTCCTTCCATCCTGGGTAGATGAACAGAATATCCAATCTGTTAAAGTTTGATTGACAGAAGCCCCTCCCTCGGTCCTCTCCTCTTTGTTGCCTTTCCCTTCCCACCCCAGCCCTAAGTTTCCCCACTGCCCTCCCCTTCCCCGCCTCTCACAGGCATTTCCTGTCTACAGACCTCAGAGCTGGGTGTGACCGAGCACGTGGAGGGCGATCCCTGCAAATTCGCCTTGTGGTCTGGGCGCACCCCATCCTCAGACAATAAAACAGTGCTGAAAGTAAGTACTGCTCTCTGCTAGGCACAAGATTAGGGTTGGGGGTAATAGAAGTAGGGGTGGGCAAGTGATGCCTAAAAGCTAAGGCGCAGAGACTCTACTGAGCCATGGGCCTCTCTTGGAAATGGTAGCATCACATGAGTATTGAGAAGCAAATTCTATCCTGAAGGTAGACCCAGAATCTCAAAGATGCATGGTCTCTTCAAGTGCATGCACATGTGTGACCAACAGGGAAGAGGGCAGGGAGTGGCCTGCGGGGCCAGCTCAGCAGGGCCCACTTAAACTGTGCTCTATCCGTATGTCCTCCTTCAAGTGGCAAGAACAACTGACCCTTTGACAAAAGGCACCTTGATTTGCTCTACATTCATTTGACATTTTTTCCTAAATAGCTTCTGTGTAAAAGGTATAGTGCCTAGTGTGGTGGGGGATAACCATGTACAAGATATGGACCTTATTCCCTGGGAACCTATGTTCTTGAGCCCCTAGTAAATCACATTAGTATGGGGACCATGCTGATGGGGAGAAGTGTCAAGAGGGGGCCTTTCATTAGAGGATGGCCTTGAGGAGTCATTGCAGCTCTCTGGGGCACAGCAGTGATGTTAGCCTGGCTGAGCAGCGATCATGCAGCTGATGGAGCTCCCAGCAGTCATTTGCTTGTCAGGAAAGTGCCCATCACCAAGGAAAAGATGGTCCAACCCCGACAAAAGCTTCACACTTGTTCACTCTGAACTGCCAGCATAGCTGCTACCTGTTGTGAGGCAGAATTACCAGAAAAAAAATTTTACCAAGACAAATGGAATCATCATAAAATGATAGCAGTGCCTTAGTTAACAGAGTTAGCTTGCCACAAGCCCAGGACTGACTGCTAGTCAGTTCAAGTCTGTGGAGCCATGCTAGGTGAGCATCCTGACATATATCCATACTGATTGGGAAGTAGATGCTGCCCCTCCCAGTGCCCACTAGACCTCCCCTGGATCTAGCAACCCAGGTGTTAATCCCTGTCCCAGGGGGAACTTCCAGATTCTGTTCCAGCTCCAGGGCAGATATCAGGATTGGTCAGTGCCTTATGGGTTATGAAATACTTTGACAATTACTCTCATACAAGTAATTCTGCATTGAGTCTTGAGGTCAGAGCACTGTTCTGGGAGTTGGAGAAGCCTGTTTCTGGTATTAAAGAGTCATAAGTATGAAATGATAAATAAACTCCCCAGACATTTGGAATCCTTGAAAATAACAGATGAAGACTGCAGGAGGGTTGAGAGCTGTTTTTGGCGAGGTGATGGGAGTTGGGGTTCTCAGTCTCTCTCCCTGTGGCACTCTAGGCCTCCAACATCGAAACCAAGCAGGAGTGGATCAAGAACATTCGAGAAGTGATTCAAGAAAGGATCATTCACCTGAAAGGAGCTTTAAAGGAGCCACTTCAGCTCCCCAAAACACCAGCCAAACAGAGGAACAATAGTAAGAGGTAACAAGCGCCTCTCCCTCCAGCACTGCCTGCCTCACAGGCTTCTGGGCGCGGGAATGGGATGAATCTTTGCTTCTGAAGGGGGATGTGCCCTGCAGGTAGCACTTTCCAGGAAGGCCTGTGAGTTCCACCTAGGATGAGTCATCTCATCTTTAAGCATCTCACGAGTGTCAAATTCAGCAGGGCTTCACTGAGCACCTCTTATTTGATAAACACTCTGCTAGGTGCTACAAGATTAAAGGAAGTGTAAGATGAGTCGATTCCCTTAAGAGCCATCTAATAGCCATGTCTCACACATGAAATAGACCAGAAGAACCACCAATAGGGATCATAAATGCGATAAGAATTCAAAGAAAGGGGACTTTAGATGAGCCCTAGAGTGGAGGAACGCTGGACTGGTTGGATAGTGAAAGGGCTTTGTGTACTGTAACGTGTGGAGTGGTGGTTTCATTGCAGCTCTTATTGCAACACCCACAGAGACCTCGCCTTCATTCACCTATGATAAGCAATGTCATTGGGCAGAAGAGGACTTATTTCTTATATCTTTCTGGACCCTTCTGAATCCCAGTTTCCTCTAAACCCATGGATGACTTCTTAAGTATGTCTTTCCCAAGTCTCCATGTGACACCTACACTTCTAATGACTCTTTTGGGGGATACTTCCAAAGAAAGCATACAAAAACTTCACATACATTTTGAAGAAAAAAAACAGGGTTCTAACAGAGATGGTCATCGGTGGTAACAGGTTCTTCCCTCCTCCCCTGTACCTGAATGGAATAAAGCTGGAGGATTTAGTTGACCCTTAGGTACCAACCAGGACAAGCAGTGTAGGGAGCCATTTCAGGGCCTATGAAGCAGCAGCAGCATTGGTCCTGAGCAACATGGTAGCCAAAAGAAGGATGTGACTAAGGTAGAGAAACCTCCGTGGGGCAGAAGCCCCAAGACCTGCATGACCAGGATAAAGTCACCTCCTCAGTGCTGCATGGAGGAATTATAACTACTCTGGGGGAGGGATCATTTTGATGTCAGTTATCTATGTCCAGAGTCCAGGTAAGGAGGGGGTGGACTAAAGTCTAGCAGTGGAGACAGGCCATGCCTCAGGGAATCCATACTTTAATAAAGAAATTAGAAAGGAAACAAGTATAAAGAAATGGTGGTCTAGGATCATAGTGAGAGAGGATACTCAGGTGAGGCTGACTAGGGTTATTTACCCTGACATTGCCCCTTTTTCCTATAGTAGGAGAGTTTGGGCATTTCTAGAATATGGGAAATGCGTATCTTGGAAATGCCCCTAACTTTTCTCCGCTCCCACCTTTTCTCTTGTCCTGTGATGGGTGGGTGAGAAACCTTGGCATACTCTGCAGAGAATAACCAGGTAGTCTATAATTCCATTATCTTGGATTCCTGGATATGGGGACAGTTTATAGAGGAGTTCATTGGTTGGGGAATACTACCCACACTCCTAGGTGGGCTCCCCACATCCCCCAGAAGTTACTTCATCTGGAGTGGACCAGAAGGGCCCACCATGGGCCAGAATAGCAGGAAGCAGAAAGTACAGCCAGCTCTCAACTGTCTACACATGACGGGGAGCACTGGCCCAGTTAATCCAAAACAACAGATGATCTAAAAGTCCTTTATTTTTGGTTTTGAAATGCGTCACATAAATTCTTTTTACAGCAGATTTTCCTTCCTACGAATGTGTGGCTTATGTTATTAAAATAAATTGACATTTCCCAAGCCCACAAATGATGGTGAGAGAGCAGTTGACTTAGAAGTGTTCTGGGTGGGAGAAAATACTTTTTATGATGAATAGACATTGTGTGTATACATGTGCACATGCCTGGGTACTTGCATACACACACATCCACATACATCCACATGTACACCAGAGTGTGATCATTTAAACCCTTTGAGGTGAATTCATTATTTGTGGCATTTTGTTCATGTGGTAGGATTCTCAGGCTTTCAGTTTCCCTGTCCCCCTGATGCCATTACTTCTCCACAAGCAGCATCAGGGTGTCTTTTATAAAAGCGCCCATTGGAAGAGTTGTCATTTCCTGTGCTAATTCACCTAACCCCAACCCTAACCCCACATCTCCCCCAGCTTTTCCTGGCACAGACCTTGCAGCCTTCATCAGTTTCCAGACATCCAGTCCCTCTTGGCCATGGCTGTGGGCTCGACACAGGATGGGGGCACAGTTCTACAGCTGGAGAGCTGAAAGAATGTGGGAGTGGGACAGCTGTATGGTCCGGGGCCCAGGAAGGGGTCTAAATGCCGGGGGTGCACTCAGGAGATGGTCTTAGCTGACACACAGCAGCACAGCTGGCTCCAAGGCTGCTGTGGAACCTGTGACTGTTCTCCAATCTTTGAGAAAATGCCTTGGCCGTCTGTATTGATAAGAAATCATCATAAACACACATGAGATCCTCAAAACCCAGCCAGATGAAGGCAATAAATTCCTTCTCCACACCCAGGAGTTGAAGGTCCAATAGCAGGAATTTCCCAAAGATAATAGCCCCTGGAGACAATATTCCACTCAACCTGTTTTCCTGAACAGAAGAAACTTAAGTTTAAAAGAAATCTTGGCTGGGTGCAGTGGCTCACACCTGTAATCTCAGCACTTTGGGAGGCCGCGGCGGGCGGATCACCTGAGGTCAGGAGTTTGAGACCATCCTGGCCAACATGGTGAAACCCCATCTCCACAAAAAAATACAAAAATTATCTGGGCGTGATGGCAGGAGCCTGGAATCCCAGCTACTTGGGAATCTGAGGCAGGAGAATTGCTTGACCCTGGGAGGCAAAGGTTGCAGTGAGCCAAGATCACGCCACTGCACTCCAGCCTGGGTGACAGAATGAGATTCCATCTCAAAAAATAAAAATGAAAAAATAAAAGAAATCTTATCACTTCTGTTTTCTTTATAGGCCAACTGTAAATGAACCCTCATCCTAATTACAGCATGTACAAAAACTTGAATACCCTGAATTTGGGATTATTGAAATGACCTAATCACTTGAATAGAAGCCTAGGCTCTAAGTAGGATATATATCTTCCTACTGCCTGTTATAGACCCATTCTCAAATATATATATATATATATATATGTGTGTGTGTATATATATTCACATATACATACACCCCCTCTGCAGCATGGGCTGGAGGAGTTTTGGGAAAGGGGGTCATTTTGCGTTCAGTTATCAACATAGTGATTATGTATTTACTAAGTGCAAGAAGTGACATCACTGAAAATCGCATAGGGCCACTCTCTTTAGCAGGATAATTTTAGACAAATCCCTGCTAGAAAGTGCGAGGCGCTGCTCTGCCCACCCAACCGGAAATCCTTGTGTGCTCTAAACCCACAGTGGTTCCCCCCACCCCCACCCCTGTTTTTTTTCTCTTCTTCCTGCAGGGATGGAGTGGAGGATATTGACAGCCAGGGGGATGGGAGCAGCCAACCAGACACCATCTCCATTGCTTCTAGGACCTCTCAGAACACAGTGGACAGTGACAAGGTAGGACAGAGTCCTAACCTTCCTTCCCCTGAGACTTCTTGATGGCTCAACCACCCCTGAAGAGGTACCCCTAGAGAATTTCTCTCACTATGGATCCTACCTTCAGGAGCCAGTTGTCTCTTTGTGCCAAGAGGGAAAGAACAGGGCTGGAGGAGGCATGTCCCAGCACGAGATCTGGTCTGAGGGGATGGAAGACTGCGGTGGTTCAGGCTGACCTCTCATGTTGGGAGAGTTTAACAAAAGTGGACAGGCTGAGTAGTGAGGGAGTCTAGGTTTCTTCTCTTTCTGAGATGCCCCACCTGGGCTTCTTGGGCTGCCCTGCCTTCTGGGAGGACGGATCCCAGGAAGGCTGAATTGGGATAGTGTCCTGAGACCTTAGTGGCTGTGATTGGCTCAAATTTACAGTGATTTGAGAAGAGCTCATCTCAAAGTTAGACCGAGCTTAATGGTTTGGGAAATGGCCACAGAGATGCTGCTTGGTAGCAGCCTCTTATCCAAAGGGACTCTAGTGGAAATGATGCTTTCCTCTGGCTAGATTATTGGGGCTCAGTTGCTGAGAGACAGGAGGACCAGGAAGTGCTATGTGAAGGATGTAGTTGTTGTGTGAGAAAGCCTGGCCACTTGCTTTCTAACATTTTGGAGCAAGTAAGCAAAAGTTAGTAGCTCTGATGGGAAAGCAAAAGAAAAGAAACTGTAGCAAAGGCTCTGTGTATTTGCCCCAGGTAGGTGAGGAATGCAACCGCCGGAATCTGTAGCAGGGGGAAGAAAGGGTCCACGTCTGAGCCTTCTCTCATTTGCTTACTCCAGAATTCAAAGAGTATGAGATAATCTTTTGCTGCCTATTAGTGATCTTATTAATGAAGTTCTGGGTTTCCAAAGACTATTTGTCCCTAGTTTATTCAGACCTAGTATTTTGGCCTGCTCCTTCAGGCTCAGACAGCAGGCTGTGTCGTTGCTTCATCTTAGTTTTCAAAGTTACAGGTATTTCTTTTAAAGATGATCTGCATTCATTAGGATTTTTCCTATTTTTTCTTGCTGGGAGAAAAAAACCATTGAGACCTTAGTGTGGGAACTGTGCCCCGAACCTGCTGAAATTATGGTGCCAAATTACCCTAATCATGCTTTAGACTAGTGCTCAAGGTCATTCAAGGTAATTCTGACAACTGCCCTCAAGTTTTTAAGCCATTTTCTACTGACTATCAGAGTGGATGGAAAATTATTTTTTTTTTCCACTTGTAAAAACATACAATGAAAAACCATGTCTGTAATTTCCTGTCTCCTCTGACCTGTTGTCTAGAAATACAACCTAGTGTTCCTAGCGTATAAAAAGTGTTCGTCTTTAAACAGTCAGTGGGTGGTAAGTCAAGTGCAGTGTTTCCCATGTTCAGACATAGATTATTCGTGTCATGGTCCAGGGAATTCATGCCTTCCAGCTGCTAATCCATCTTCCCAGCAGCTCTGACTTTGACACAGACCCCTATGCTAGAGCCATTTGTTTTAGGAAGACCTCAGCTCCAGCTATGCCTTGTCTTTCTGGCAAGGTGTGTGGGGCTGGACTAGAAGACCTCTGACAGCAGCCATTTTACTATTAATGAGGGGTCCTTGTACTTAGACTTTACTCTACAAGTAAGCAAGCAGGCTCAGAGAAACTAAGTGACTCACCCAAGACAATGCTAGTAGTTGTGGGAAGGCAGGAACTAGAACACAGATCTCCTGATTTTTCCAGTTTTCCCCCACTCTGAAAGTCAAAGCGTTGAATTCAGATGCTGGGATGAACTCAGCTGGTCAGTTTTTCTGCATATTTCACAGAAACAGCACTCACATATTCATGTAGAAGCACCCATCATGTGCCAAGCTCTGTGCTGGATGCTGTAGAGAGATGTGGACTCTTTGTTGAGTGTGAATCTCTACCTGTGTAATTTTTTGTTTCATGTCTGTCTCAATAGCCAGGTCATTGAGCCCTGATGAAGGCAAGAGCTGTGTCTGTCTGTTTCATTGCCGTACTCCTGACACGCAGCACAGAGAGGCTCAGGAGATACTTGTGAAATAAATAAATAAATAGAGGGAACAAAATGACTGGTCTCAGGAAACTCCAGGAGGAAGAGGCAGCTAAAACCAGTGGTCTGAAAGCAGACAGATATATGAACATTGCATTTTTAAATATGCTAAAGAAAGATCAAATCCCAATTACCTTCTCTGGCCTTAGGAGACATGAGCAGAAGGTAGGAGATTCTATGTTATGTCCGTATACAAAATCTAGAAAATTCCTTAGACATAGTCACACTTTCAAAATAAGGGGAAGATCATTCTAGGCCTATGCACTGTAATTTAAATGTTCTTACTCTTCTAACACAAAACAGTGATAACAGGGCAGCCATGTGTCCTCTGTGACTGCACTTTCCTTCATCTGTTAAATCACTCATTGGTATGTTTGAACTTGTAGATGTTATCAGCAGTGTCAGATTTTCCCCTAACTATTCTAGACTGCCAGGGAACCCTGGTTTCTAAGTGGTCAGGTGAACAGTCTCTGAAAAAGAGGAAGTTAACAAAGTGGACTGATCAGGTAAACTGACTCATATTCAACAGAAGGGCAAACAAGGGCACTGTGGGAGGGGAGTGGGTGGAGATATCTCACCCAATTCAGACTCATCTAACAATAGACTTCTAGAAAAACCGCCCCAGTCTTCCTCTTACAATCCAGAGGAATGACAGTAATAGTTTCCCTGTCTGGCTGAGTAGATGAGGAAAGCATAACCATTAAAGAGTCATGACACACCAACTTGAGGTGTGGCGGCTCCAGGGTCTCCTCCAACCACTCCATGTGTGTTACGTACGCTGTGGTGTGGTGGAAGGAGTTCGATATACCTAGGTTCAAATCCCAGTTCTGACACTCTGTGTCACATTGCATAGGTTACTGTACCTTCCTTTTTCTGTAAAGGAGAGATAATAATATGTATCTCACTAAGTCATTGGAAAGATTACGTAAAATATTTGCTTGATAACCATTAGACATTCAGTAAAGGTTAATTCCCACTCTTACTAGAGGGCAAGCAAAGGTTTAGATACTATGAATAAGACTGCACAATTATTTGGCAGACTATGAGGATCTTTGAAAATGCTTGAGCTAGTTCTGCCCTGTGGTTTTATTGTTTATTAACTGTCAGCAGGTTCTTTTCTGTATTAGACCTAAAGTGATGTAGCTTCAACTCACCTGTCTATAAAAATAACTTTACTCTCTTTTCCATGTGCTAGCCCTTCGAATCTAAGGTTTGGATATTTGCTGTTAGCATTGGCTCATGGATTATTTTATTATTTAATTAATTATAGTCTATTATCATCATGTATTAATTTTAGTGCTCAAATTGTACCACATTTTGCTAGTGGCAGCTCTTAAGGCTTTAAGTGTTGAAAGATGCTTGTCACATCTTTTCTCCAAATCATCTCTGTTTAGAAGTCCTCAGTTTCTGTGTCTGTTCCTTATATTTATATATTTTTCAGATGCTTCCACATCCAGGTTGCCTTCATCTGGATTTACTCCAGTGTGTAATTTCTGTATAAAATGAGTCCTATAAATATATCTAAATATAAATACATCTAAAAGGTACATAATACTGCAGAAGTATTCTAACTAATGTAAACATGGCTCCTTGTTCTAGGACTAGCTGCTATGTGCAGATCCTGCCTAAGACGGCGTGCCATGTTTCGCATGTGTGTCCAGTGCTGGCTCATAAAATCTCCATGCCCTTTTTTATGGACTGTCCTTAGTCGGGCGGGTGACTTAGTAACCTGAGTGTAGGCTACTTTACGTCTATTAGATTTTCTCTTATTTAGTTCCATCTCAGTGTTCTAGAATGTATTGAATACAAATTATATTGTCCAGTGTGTGAGCCGTATCTCTCTGCAGTATTGGATAAATGCATCTTCTGTAGCTTCATCCAGATTCTTGCTAAAAATACAAGATTGGGAGCAGAAGACCAATGCCCAACACCACTTCTTATTTCTCACCTAGGGTCTGTAACTTGGAAACCTCCTTGTCTGACTCTTCTTTGACATCTCCAGGGAAGGAAACGCAACCACTTTTCTCTATAGCAGAGAAGCTCAACTGTTTTCTTAAGCTGTAAATCCTCTCTTGATGAGAAAACAGTCTAATATTCTTAATCCTACATTAAACACTGACAATACAATATGGGTGCCTCAGTAAATGGCATTAGTAACTTTTCTAGGGTTGCTTTTGTTCAGTACTTAAATGGGTCTGCATAGCTTCTACCTTGCACCTGTCTAATACAAAGGCAGTAGTTCCTTAAGGGGCAAACAGGTGTGCTTACTTTGTTCCATGGTGATCTGAGCCCCTCCATATTCTGTCCAGGAGTCAGTTCATGATTTTCTGAAAAGGTCATTCCACTGTGAATCATCTTTTGACTATATGTGCATTACTAAATGGTGGGGCTTTGCAGTCACACTTAGAAGAAATCTAGAACTATAGAATTCTAGCCAAGCAGGGCTGAGTAATGAGGTGACAGCCAAATATCTTCTTGTTTAACCTGATAGATATCTGTTGAATCCTTTCCAGCTAATGGTACAAAAGCAGCCATCCAGTGCATGTATTTGCCATTTAGCCCAGGCATGCTGGAAACTTAAAATAAATACTTATTGAAGGGAACATTACAAACCTATCCTAGTAGGGATACTCTCCATCCAAAAATCACTATAAATTTCCAGACATGTCAGAGTTGGCTGGAGAGAGGGAGATTGAAGTGAAATTGACTTGCTGGTACTCTTCTCTGAAAAAATTATAAGGGAAGGAACACTGCTGAAACATTTCAGGCTGGTGTGTGGTTTGAAGAGGAACTTCAGTAACAAGCTAATGTGAGCTGAGGTGCAATGTGGGCTGATAATGGTGATATGCTAAAGAAGAACAGGGAAATACCTGGAGAACCCCTGAGATTTTTGGATGTAACTCAATGGTTTTTAAACCCTGAATTATCACATCAATGTAGTGC